TCCTTTGGTGCATCGCGAGCCTTGTTGGAGGAAAAGCTCCAATCTTCCTTTGGTGCATCGCGAGCCTTGTTGCTAGAAAAGCTCCAGTCTTCCTTTAACACATCGCGAGCGTCAACGGGCCTTTCAATGGCAGGCAAAGCCTGGGCCTGGAGAGCCAAGAAGGTGGTGAGATAGATGATGGCCTGAGGATGCATCTTTGATGTCGCGAGACTGGTTGAGTTTGATTGGTGTGTTTGAGTTTGTGAGATACAAAGGGTGCTGTGATATACTGAGTCTTGCTGATGATGATTATCATCGAGGTAGTACAGAAAGTATTCACCTTATATAGACCTTGGGCTGCACACATATAATGAACAGACACACTGCTTGCCGAAGCAACGTAACTTCACTACTCTATCATTACTATTATTCAGTCACTCGTCTCTCTAGAGCATCATGTGATTGAGGTCATGCATACTGATGGCCTTGCGTATCGAGGGCCTTGCACAAAGGGAGTTTTGAGAGTCTGTTATACGATGAGGGCCTTGCATATTGAGGGCTATGCATACTGATGACTTTGCATATCGAGAACCTCTCACGTTGAGGGCCTCGCTCAGTCACCTTGCATGTCTTATCATGTGATGAGGGCCTTGCATATCGAGGGCCTTGCATATCGAGGGCCTTGCATATCGAGGGCCTTGCATGCTAAACCATACCAAGAAGGTTCATTTTGAGCACTCTGTGCTACAATGGCATCGCGTGGTGAGGACTGTGGATGGCAAGAACTCTGTGTGCTAAATTGTATACTGAAAAGTCTTCGCGTGCTAAGAGAAGCTTGCACGTTTACTCAGGGGGGTTACTTTTATGGGTGACATGCGCTGGAAACTTGTATGTGTTTACTTTAGATTCTACCATAAGGCTAGATATGTACGTATCATGTATTGAAATTACCTATATCTCGCCCTGTATCTAATGATGTCCATCTCCATGTAAGACACCGCCTTGACCTAATGGAGTAATCCCCAGTGCATGGTGCTCCTCGCTAGATTGGTTGTATGGGTCACCTAATTCATCGTATTGTCAAAATAACTCTCTGTGGTGTACAGATACATGAAATCAACGGTCGCCAAGCTTACCAAAGATTGGGTGAACTAGTAGACCCGGCTGAGATGGATTGAATGCGCGGCTTGCCATCCAGTCGTAGATGGGCTCCCAAACGACGCATTGATGTTTCCCGGTATCCGTAGCAATGGGTCCTGGAGAACTGAATGTCAAGCATTAGCATAGTTTTCGAATTTGAATTGGGGAGAACTAACTCCGCAGACCACTGTATTGGGATTAAAGAGGTGTCAGCATTGCATTGAACGTATTCTCTCAGCCAATCTAGGCAATGTTCTGCCTCGTTTCGTCAGACTTATTTGCGATTCTTATGTGATGTCACGGCTTACCCGTATGCCGCCTCAAGGTAAATGCTTCCTCCTCGGAAAGCCCGGGATAGTACACCTCGGGGTATATTGAGTTGTGAAGCCTCTGTATGCAGTGGAGTCCATGGAATACAGCAACGGTACTGTAATAGTAACCACTGCCATCAGAAAGTTGGACAACGGAGTCATCATTTGCAAAGTCTCCTAGCTCGTCCTGATGAACTCGAATATTTTGATCTAGAGGTTTAATGTCAACTTAATGCCAACGATTTACATGCGAATGAGACGTACGCTGCATGAGAGAATCCCAAGCATCCTCCAGATCTTGCCTCGGGGGTCCATTGAACTGATTAGCCTTGGCCGGGTTCACCGTGTGATTCTCCAAATATATCGACTGGAGTGCAAAAGGCCGCTCCTCGTACGCTATTACATGCCGAAAGGGTGCTGTGATGCGTTTGATCAGTTACATTTGTCTCTTCGAAAGCCATTGTCTCCAAAACTTTACTTTTATCATGAGGGTCTGGGAAATCTCTGAGTGTCAACCACCCAGAGGCATATGCCATTAGTGCAGCAACGTTGGATAGAAGGAATAAGGTGTGAAGGAATATGGTGCGGGCCTCTTGACGCAGCCAACGCAGAGTTGAGATCCTGGGTTGACGAAAATGAACTTCTTCAAGGTAACTATCCTCGGCATCGTCTTGCTCAGAGGACTGGTCATTGTATTTGTGAGATAAGGGCTGGATTTTAGAATATTCAGCCATATTGTAGATCTTGATGGAAAAATAATGAAGTAAAGTTGGAGGGCGATCCGATTGAACCGCATGTATGTAGAGCGACTGACGTGCCGGGTGGCATGGAATACCCTGAGACCAAAACCGTCTCCGATAGAGATCACGGTTTGGAGGGATTAGAAGAGGCAATTGGGCAGTATATCCAGGAAACCAGCAGAGAGCCATTTCAACGCATTCTGGTATATGACGAGGACATCCTCATAGGTCAGGGCCAGCTTTCTCGCTTGGGAGCTTTTCGGCCAAGGTAGCCGCAGAAGTTCCCAAAATTGGCGTCGTAGTGGACAATCGCGCATTGTCCAATCTCAGCCGTGTCATACCTGACAGATAATTGGACAAGAAACTCTCCAGCCCGTTTAGAGGTATTTCTGGTTGCATCCATAGCCAAACAACGTAATACCCACGTTGCCTCTTGGCCTGCACAGTGTCATGATGCTGTGAGGGCCTTACCTGAGAGGGCCCTGCTTGTGGGGGCCTTGCTTGCTGTGTGGCATACCTGCTGGAGGCCTTGCGTACAGGAGAACATTCCTGAGTGGGGCGTTGATGACATGATTTTAGGCGGGGTCCATGCAGACAAGCAAGAGAACCTCGCATGTTGAAGGCCAGAATGTATAGTATTCTATATCACATCAAACTAGAGTCATCTTCCATGTTCTCAAAATGCGTTCGGGTATTGACTGGATATTTCTGCTTCATGGGTTTGAAGCCTTTATACTCCATTGAAGCCACCCTGGCTCGCTTCTCTTGAATAACTCCGTCAGTCATCCTGACTTGACTATGGCGATTCCCAGTACGCCATTTTTATCCGAATCAGACAGATTAGAGAGCAGCATCGACTTGAACAATGTCGAACTCACGACAAACAAACGATGGAATCGAAACAGCCACCCCTGGAAGTCACTCTGGATCATGATTCAAGTTATTGTTGCTCTTCTAGCATGCTGGGGATTTATCTCTCTGTGCATCGAGGTGTTCCAGCCGGACAGAACACAGTCGTGCTTGGCCTTTCTGCATCAAGCCAGGTCACCAAACCCTTACTATCCCGAAACTCTGCAACCGGGTCTAAACACATGCGATTGCGGCAAAACGATACGGGAGGCTCTGTCCAGAAAATGTGTCTATGACAGCCTTGCTGCGGCCTGGTTACCGCCTTACTGTCGAGACGTTGAGCTCACAAGAGAATTCGAAGTATCCGGACCTGGGCCAGAGGGCGAATGGCTCTACTACGCCGACGAGGCAGGCACTATTCCCATGACAATATCTGAGGTGGCGGAGCTGGGCGAAACGGGCGGTACTTTTTGGGCCTTGCGAGACTGGCATGTTGCCCACTGCCTCTTCTACTGGCAGAAGTACACACGCATGAGAGACACTGGCATCATCATGGAGCAGCGATTTGACCACATCGCTCATGTCCGACACTGTCAACACATGGCTTTGAAGCCAAAACCAAATCCCACTTTTCTTGTAGAGGTGGATGTGGTGATGAACTCAACTTTGATGAACTAGTTTATTTGCATAGCATACATACTGCAGGAAATATCTTGAATGATCCAGTTTCCGCGTGAAGTTGCTATTGCGTGATTAAGATTCTGGTCTGTCATTTGCATTTGTTAGGTGTAGTTTGGTCTGAGCCTCTTGTCGCCAAAACTCCGCATTTATGAGAAGAAAATATGTCACCCTGGCCTCAAAATCTGCTGGCTCACGCCTTCCCATCATTCATTGTTCACGGAATGTACTGTAGTTGCTCATCTGCCGCATGTTTTTGATTTGACAGCGACGCGGTCTTCCAACCACCAAGCGGGTCGCAAAAGTTCCTGCCTTGCAGTTGACGAGCCACACCCTGCAGTTTGAAGCCTGCGGCACAGAGGGCTTATCAAGCTTGGACCCAAACCTAAATAGCGACAGATGCTCTTCCTGGATGCAACGGTGGGGCGTCAACCAGGGAAGCTGTGGAACTGGGCTGCAAATACGATACTCTCGCCTCGGCTTGGCTGCCGCCGCGCTGCCGAGACCCAGAGTTGAAGGCTCTATTTGCAAATAGGACCTAGACGTAGCGATACTAGCTAGACCGCAAGAAGACAACCGAGATATCGGTAGAGGCAAAAAGCGCGCTCGCAGACACTAGTTTTACTGACGCAAAGCAGTTCGTGCGCAGCGGCTAGGCACGACTATAGAGCCGCGATACATCAGCGAGCGACACGCCATCCACTGCGCCAAGATGATGAACATGGATGGTTCGCAGTACATGACGGCGACTAGAGTCGTATTGAATAGCAATTTTGTATAATCACTATTGTAATACTACAGGCGTCGAAGCATTGTTACAAACTCGCTGGTATTCACTGTTGCCGAGTTGCCGTAGAATACGTAACTGTCTTCGTATAGCAATGTATTGTCGTGAACAGGCGGGTGGCTTTTTAGTGAGTGATCTGGTAGTCGTTTTCAGGCTGGTAATCGTTATGAGCAATGAAATTAGTATAGGAAAACTATTCCAGAAGTAAAAAAATCATTACCAAAGCCCTTACCAGACTGGACGCTTTTCAAGAGGCCAACCCTTACCAAAAACCCCTCCGGCGCCCGAAGATAGGTAATATAACATAGTTAGCACGGGACCAAGCTAGGATACTGCCATTTCATGCGACCCAACGAACCAACACAAAGCCCTTGGGTGTGGAACAGACAATAGTCGCTTTAAGGATGTGACGGCACGCATCCTTGTGTCTGAGGGGTTCTCTCTGCATTCTCTTGTCTTTCGACCAAAAGCCGTGTCTGACGTTGGCATCGTCGAAACGAGCTCATGCCAGTCACGGATGCTCTCATGCTAGCCAGCCTTTGAGCTACAAGACTTCCGGTCGCTGCTCTCGAGAGTCATGGAAGCCAATGCTGCTGGCTGTCCGGCTGGTGCCGACAATCGCTTTGGCCCTCGTGTGGATCCTTCCTGTAGATCATTCGACTTCACCTTGCTGTTTGAGGATGCAATCTTCACTGCGCTCCCTGCGGCTCTGTTTCTTCTGCTCATACCAATCCAGCTATGGCGAATATCACGAACCACGATCAAAATTGATTCGTATATCCTCGCAACCTGGAAGCTCGTACGTTGCGCCTCAGGACATATCTTATAGTCAAATGATGAACAGTGAACAAACTACTCATGAACCTTTGCCTTACGCCAGGTTCTTCTAGGTATCCTCTTTTCGTTACATTTAGTTTTTCTGGTGCTCTCTCGCAAATCCCCAGGCTCACTACATCGTTGAGTCTCGCATCAGGAGTGCTCGCCACAGCGGCAGTGCTTGCTGCCAGCGTCCTATCGTTTCTCAAAGATCAGCGCTCTACACGCCCGTCGGACATTCTTGTTCTCTACTTCTCTGCTTGCACACTTCTCGCGATCCCCCAGCTACGAACGCTATGGCTCATGCCGTCCAACAGCGTGCTCAAGGCAACCTTGACCGTCAAATTCATCGCTACAGTTGCTGTCGTTGTCGCAGAGTCAAGCCGGAAAAATAAATTCCTAAGCCAACCCTACAAGAAGCTACCGACAGAGGAAACTGTTAGCTTCTGGAGCCGAGGTCTGTTTGTATGGATACTGCCCTTCTTCAAATTAGGCTACTCCAAACATCTCGTTCTCCACGACATTTCCGCAATAGGCTCAGGGCTAGGAGGGGCGCCTTCTCGGACAAAGCTTCAAAGATCTTGGAATCGGGTAACAGGACACCACCTGCTTCTTCGAGCAACTTTTCGAGCAAATATTGCCCCGCTCGTGTCGGGTGTTATCCCTCGTCTCACACTAAGTTGCTTCTCCTTCACTCAGCCATTTCTTATTTCCACGTCGGTGTCAAATCTGCAGCTTCGGGAATCTGACGATCGTTCTCGCTACGGCCGTGCCCTTGTCAGTGCCTTTGTTCTGACGTACATAGGCATCGCGGTATGTCTCGGAATTTCCTCTAATATAATTACATTGCTGCTAACGCTCATTAAGGTATCACGAGCCTTGTACCAGAGGCAAACGTATCGCATGATTGCCAAGATACGTGCTGGGCTCATTTCCAACAAGATACAACTGCCCTTCGATACGCTGATATTAAAGATTCAGCAGCTGTCACCTTAATGGGCACTGACGTCGAGAGAATCCACGAGTCATTGATGCAAGTTCACGAGATTTGGGCTTCGACCATTGAAATTATAATCGCAGTGTGGCTTTTGGTGCGCCAAGTCTCTTATGCTGCGATAGCTCCCTTGGCCATCTGCCTAAGTAAATCTCAGCTGAAACAGCCTTTAATGCATGCTGTATTTGGGTTGGAGTAATAGTTTCGAACCGTGAGCTGACCTTCCTGTAGTATCGATTGGTGGAGCGTCTCAAATCGGTAACCGTTTCGGACCAGCAATGGTTACTTGGATACAGTGTGTACAGAAAAGAGTCGCAGTTACGGCGAGTTTCCTCAACGATATCAAGGCGGTGAAGATGCTAGGCTTATCTGATGTCTTGTACGGTATCACTGTCAAATTGCGGAAGGACGAGCTTCATGCCTCTGAGAGGTTTCGCAGGCTACTTGTCCTCCAAATCCTCACAGGTGAGCATCGCAATAAACTCGGTTTATAGGATGGAGCTAACATCCAATTTTTAGGGAACGCTCCAACTCCTTTAGCACCATTTGCTACCTTCGTTATCTACGCCGTCATTGCAAAAATAAGGAAGGATGAGACGTTGCTTGCTGCGCAGGCTTTTGCATCTCTCTCCCTTCTCAGTCTTACTACCCAACCCCTTATCCTTCTTTGTGAGGCGGTGCCTCGTATCATGCAAGCTGTTGCTTGTTTCCGACGTATTGAAGAGTATTGCGCAAAAGTGAAGGAGGATACGCTACCTTCTGGCGGATTTCAGGGAGCCACAGGTCACGGAATGGAGATGGAACGCAGAGACACACTGACAAACTCAGCTGGCGGTCTTGTTTCCTTCGAAGGCGCATGCATTTCCTGGAGTACGCTAGAGGAGAAGAATGTTTTGCACAACCTCAACCTCAAGATACGCCTTGGGTTCACTGCTATAGTTGGTCCTATTGTAGCCGGTAAGTCGACATTGCTGGCAAGCATAATTGGACAAACAATCGTAAGGGAAGGCTATGTGTCGCAAGTCTCTTCGAAAGTTGCGTTTTGTTCACAGACTCCATGGATAGTTGATGACACTGTACGACGCAGCATCATTGGAGACCAGGATATTGATGAGAAATGGTACGATTTCGCAATCACTTCCTCTTACCTAAAAAAGGACTTGATGAGGCTGCCTTTGGGAGACGAATTTTGTTGTGGCAGTAAGGGGGTCTCTTTAAGTGGTGGACAGCGCCAAAGGCTGGTGCGTTTGAGTTCCGTTCTTCTGTGAGCGAGACTTGGTTCAGCTAATGTTTTATACAGGCCCTCGCGCGCGCTATCTAGCCCAAGCTCCCTGTCGTCATTTTAGATGATATTATGAGCGGGTTTGATTCGCAGACGACTGTCAATATATTTGCAAGTCTTTTTAGCAAGACTGACTACTTCCGAAAGGCAAGGATATCTGTTATCCTTGCTACGCATAGCCGTATGCTCAACAGCTCCCTTTTCCAGATCGTATCCTACTGACGTACGTTTTCAAGAGCGTATTCTTCCTTATATGGATTCAGTCGTTGTACTTGATAACGGTCGTGTCGCCGAAGCTGACTCTTACGAACACGTCAAACTTCGCCCTAGAACGCTTTTGGAGGCAGCGATAGTTGACCAAGATTCTGAACACATTGATGAGGAGGAACCAAATGGCGGTGGGGCCATTCCGTCCCTCGATGAAGACCAAAAGACCGCCCTAGAGCAGGACTCATTGCATAGTAGAACGGGGAGCTGGTCTGTATATTCCTATTACTGCCGAAGTGTTGGTGCCGTGTCTTTGGTTCTTTGGGTAATTTTTACCTTCGTTGGCGCTATTACGGCGAGCTATACCGGTAGGTTTGCTGACAAAGTTATGGCTTGCCTGGTAAGGAGCTGACTCGGTCCACAGCAATATGGATTCAGCAGTGGACAAACGCAAACGAAGAGCATCCCAATGAGAAGACAGGCCTATATCTGGGAGTCTATGCGTTGCTAGTGGTCTTGTCTATTGGTGGTACTGCGGGAGAGTGCTGGTAAGCCGGCAACAAATGGGTCGTGTCCCAGGTTTAATGTTTCGAACGAAGTGTTACTGACTCAGTTTCTTAGAACTTTGTTTGTCAACATCATCAATGATACTGCATTAAAGCTTCACGATGACCTTTTGAAGGCAACACTTGGGTGAATAATGCTGTAACCGGAGTTTGAAGCACTACTTCTGCTAACTCTTATAATCTACAGGGCTCCATATCACTTTTTCCACACAACGAATACGGGTTCAATCACGAACAGGTACGTTGCATCCGTTAGGTATGAGAGAGGTTTCTTATGTGTCTGGCAATTGATACAGTTCTGCAGATTTAGTCAAGATATGGACCTCATTGACATGGCTCTCCCGGTCAACGCAATCACATTCACGACAGGTAACACAGCCATCTTGAAATGGTCCATGGTATAATTTGGCTAATTGCTTTCGTTACACAGCCGCCGCTTCATGTCTAGTCCAACTGGTTATCATTTGTATCGTAGGCAAATACCTCGCAGCCACCATTCCCGCCCTCGTTTTGGTTCTATTCGCAGTTCAACAATACTACCTACGCACCTCACGACAGCTTCATCTCATGGACACCGAAGCAAAAGCGCCCATTTACAAACTCTTCCTCGAGACCATTGAGGGTGTCGCAACCATTCGAGCGTTTGGGTGGAGCGCTGCGTTCCACAAGAGACAATATGCGGTTTTGAACGATTCACAGAAACCACTTTACATGCTTGCCTCTATCCAGCAATGGCTCGCTCTGGTTCTTGATCTCATTGTTGGCGGTCTGGCTGTTGTGATTATAGCATCGGCTACATCCACCGCCAGCTCTGTTTCTGCGGGAGCTCTTGGTGTAGCTCTCGTCCTGGTGCTGCAGTTCAGTTCTTTGCTGACGCAATGCGTCCAGAGCTGGACCAAGCCAGAGACGTCAATCGGCGCCGTGGCTCGCGTTCAAGAATTCATTAAGAATACGCCCTCTAAAGCTCCTGGCACTTTATCTTTACCTATAAACTTCCCTCAACGAGGAGTTATTCGTTGCGATAGTCTAACATCGAGCTATAGGTAAGTGAGACAACCAAAGAGAATATCACATGAGGCTAATTGTAGAAGCCCCTTTTCTGATCCAGTCCTGGGATATATTGAGTTGGGGTTTGCGCCAGGTGAGAAAATTGCCTTATGTGGACCATCTGGAACCGGAAAGTCGTCTTTGATTATGTCGATTTTGTTGATGATGGATTTCAGAGAAGGAAGAGTTACTATTGATGACATAGACATCAGCAGGGTAGAAGAGAACAGTCTGCGCATGCAGCTCAATGTCGTGCCGCAAGAACCTTTCTTCTTGCTGGGGACTGTCAAGTTGAATATCGACCCAAAAGGAAAGTCATCGAATGAGTCCATCATGGCGGCACTGAGTCGAGTTGGGTTATGGGACAAGATTGACGGTAACGGGGGGTCAGATGCAGACCTAGATCCATCGGAGCTGTCCTATGGAGAAAAACAGCTACTATGTCTTGCCAGGGCTTTATTGGTTCCAAGCAAGATCCTGATCTTGGATGAGGCAATGAGCAGGTATGTATGGCGAGTAGCTTCTGCCCTCTCTGTACACAAATGAGACTAATTTGTTGGTCTAGTGTCAACGAAAAGACAGAGGCAGATATGTAGGACATTATAGACTCTGAGTTCAAGCATCAGACTGTCATTTCTGTGCTACACAGCTTCAGCTATATTCATAGTTACGACAAGGTGGTAGTTCTTCGAAACGGTAAGCTCGTTGAATCCGGCACACCTGAGAGTCTTCTAGAGTCGGACTCGGCCTTCCGTGCGCTCTATGATGCACAGAAAGGATAGCAATGAAGGCTGGAGGTCTCTCGGAACGCAGCTTGAAGATGCAATTTTTTCTTGCTGTCTTGAATACATATACTTTCTAATTTATTTGGTCGGGGCAATCGCTGTGTTAAAGGTAATGAATTGACTGGTGAACACAAAGAATAATATTTCTCACGACGTGGTGCCTGTTCTGAATGGTGACGCTCAATTTTTACTCCGAATACCCGCCACCTGCTCCTGGGTGTACTCTTTCCACCGCACAGTGCCTATTTTGACTTTCGACTCCTGCCTCGCCCACGATCGGTAGAGGAGTTTATTGTGGATGGTTGCCGTCGATTGCGTCAGTCGTGCTCAATTACCCTCGTTCTCAGGTAAGATCCGACCGCCCTTATGCTCGTCATCGCTGACATGATTATCTATTTCAGACTCCTCGGCGTCTGAAGGCGGCCTTCTTTCGCGGCGCGGCCGATGCTGATACATCTGTAGTCGAGTCCTGTGGCTGCCAGACAATTGTACAAATGGATAAGCATGTTACGGAGGAAGAAGATAAAAAAGGCAGAATATTAGGAGGTGGCATCCATCGACGATTCGTCAATGAACTCCATCTGCTCTTCGGTGGCGCCCATGAACAGAAGCCCGGCGGCCAGGAGAAGCTGGCCAAGTTAGTGTTGGCTTCTGGGCCATAGAACGATCGTAACTCAGAAACACGTATAGAATCTGCAAGTTGTTCCACGAGTGATATTTCTCTGATAAGGGCGTTGATCCTTGAGGGTAAAGGTAACCTCGACCATACGCGTCAGGCCGGCGGCCATGAGCGTGTATCCAAACGTCGAATGAATTATAGCGCTAGCTGGCCGCTTTTAGGAGTGTCTCCAGTAATACAATGAGCTGGACCAACCCGCAACGAAATTCACAATGGCAGGAATAAAGTTGCGCTTTGGGAGGCCACCACGATCTCTACTGAGCTAGACGCCGGTCAGGCTAGCACCACCAGACGATTCCCATGACAATATACTGTCAGTCGGGTTTTGTCAATACCATGCCCCAACGATGTTGGGTGAATCTTTGAACGTAACCTGTAGTGGTAATAACGCAGCTTTCAAAAAATTCCGGGGAACGTCTGGAACGACGAAGCCAGAACTGGCTAACGACAGAGACAGCCATTAGTGTGATGGCGCAAGCGACATAGGCGTTGCCCATGATCAAGTGAGTAGTGAATTGTGAGAGATGCGCTCCTTAATAGATGCCCAAGGTGGTAATACCACTGAATACAAACTGTGTCCAAGAAAGCACGATCATGGCTTTACCATTGACAGAATGGATTGGTCGGATGATCCTTCTAATGCTCTTGTTGACACTTGTTTCCCAGTGACACTTCATATAGACTCCCAGAGTAACCTGAGTGAATAGTAGAGCCCCATTGAGGCTATTCTGAGGTCTGTCTTAAGCCTCGTGCGCGCAATTCACAAATTGAGATAAGAGTTAGAGCTCAATTCTTCAGAAAGATCATCATAGATGAATGATCGTGGCGCCTATTCAGGCTAAACTACCCGAGTAGGCAGGTATTGGAGTGCCCCACCACAACTTCGCACCCCCCTAAGGTCAACAGGTCTTACGAATTCTGACGATAAACCTTAATATTATATTTATTTATAGAAAATTGTTCTATTGAAAGGATTAAAGCTAAAATTAATTTACTATTTTTTCCTTATTTATTTAAGCCATTTTAAAGGCCTCTTCTTTCAAATAAGGGCTGTGTTTTATGCTTTACCTTATATAATAAAAATTGGCTTCAAAATGAAGATAAGAACTTTATGGTGTTGAAATTGTTATATTCTCCATGACGTGACGACCTTGGGGGGTTGGCGAAGTTGTGGTGGGGCACTCTAACTGCAAAGCTATGTTCTAGGCCCTACAGACACGAGCATAAGCAGATGCAAGGCCACCCGAATTGTCAAAGAACCCCTGGCAATAAGGGTCGTAAATCGATCGCGAACTGCCAATTTCGGCCAGTAATCAAGTTCATGGGGTGCATTTGATCCTTGTCATTTGGGGTTTTCAGCTATCTTCCTGAACGACTGGTTGCCATAATCGGCCACGCCTTTCTAGGCGGCAATTTATCTTGAGGTGATAGGCTGGAACTGTTGTCTCCGTTTATCCTATCAACAAGGATCGCGCCCAGAAGACGCGTGAATATTAGAGACATCAATATTGCAACTACATGCAGGGAATTGGATCCTTGGACTAGGCGTCTTAAAGCAGAACGGCAGATGGTTGTATTAACTTTTGGGCCGCTGAAGTCGGGTTTCTTCATCACCCTTCTCTGCCGTTTACACGGCTGAGATACTACTCATTTGTAGGTGTGGTGAGCGGTGGTTTTGTCGTAGTAGTCCAACGTAGTAGACCTTTCACTTGGTATTCAATAAGAGTGTCAAGATTCATTCTGCCACATCTTGACTTCCAAGTTTGTCGTATGAAACACAATTACATCTAGGGAGTTCTCGTCATTGACAGTCCCTCACTAGAATTGTCACAGTAATAATAGAACACTCACAAGTCTTCCTGTCACGCTCTCCTGATCCTTTCACGCTGAACATTTGTGCACTAACAGACTCGATTTGAACCAGATAAACACTTCATATATAAGTGACACTAGATAGCTAGTATGCCGATCTATAAATTCTGATATACGGACGAATATCTCGGATAATTCGTTGCTCAGTTATGTAGTCATAATCGTAATCCATCTTCCGTCAGAACAGATAGAGAAATTCACAGCCTCTTTCCATGTTTAGGATGGATCAACGAGTCTGCCGCAATCGATTGCGCCACAGTCCTTTGGGAACTTCTTCCAGTATAGAGACACAGACTACGTCATCTCAAACTGGATCTTTGTGGTGCGAACAACTTTCACGTGCCAATTGGCTTTCCAGATAGTGTGACAAGAGTTGAGCGCCATTCAAAATCATCGAGGCTCCACACCTCCATGCCACGGGGATGGCTTTCTACCCTCATGTCAGTTGGCGATTCGAGTCTTCCCAGGTCCATGGTTAGATATACCTCCTCTAAGATCTCATATCTGAATGTAGTCTTTGGCAATGGCTTTGGAAATTATCATTCCGACTGAATAAATTCCCACAGTAGGGACACACTATCGACGGGTTATGGCCTTTTTCATGTCGGTCTCTATCCTTCATCGTAGAAAAGCCTATTTGAGACCTGGGACCCTTTGATTCATGCGACATGTGGCATCCAGTGATTCTGCAGAAGAATTTTCGAAAATGAAGACGATAATGCTTGTCTCTATCGCACCGTCGGGTAAAGAGCAGCTTCGAAGAGCATGACGGGTGTGGACATCTCAGAGCAACTTCGAATCCAGACCCTTGATTATTATCTAATCGTACCGGAAGATCGGGGCCAAAATCCAAGCCTAAGAGGTCCTGCGCTTCAGATTGATGCATATTGTCGTACGGTGGTAAGTATACTGCGTCGGAAGGTTGAAGCGCCATGTGATGCATGTCGTTCATCTTGCCAACTTGCTGACTTGTAAGAATTGATGGAGAGAGCGGCAACGATGAGTTTTGCGCTAGTAGCGATTGACGTGCATTTGTTGTGCCAAGATTTGTGTAGATCAGTCCCTGGGTCTGTAGGCTGAATGATGGAAACTTTGTGCTCTCAAATTTCGCTGGGCCAGAAAACCCATATTGATTCAATGACTCTGACTCTACATCATGTTGCGATGCCAGATGATCGAAAGCTCCAATCAATATGTCTCTGCTTTCAAGCTCGATACCGTTTGAGGGCGGTGCAGGCCGAGCTCGAGTCTCCCAGCGCGTTCTGTCGGTCGCGCAATGCGCGTATGGATTTGTCGAGTAGTCAGTGGGGGAAGAGAGATGATCACGATGCTCCGGAAAGCAATTTTCCAGCGACTGGTGCCTGTAATCTATTGTTGCCTCCATTTCTCTATTCAGATGTTCGAGGAACGGCCCAGTTAATGCTGGTGCAGTGTGACGTGGGTTGTGGTGTTCCATTTTCGCATAAATTGTGGTGTACGAGGCTGGCGGAATGAAACTGAACAAGTCACACATAAAAAAAAACAATACGTTCTGAAAGTAACAAATGATTTCTTAATCAGATGGGGAGAAGGCTACTCACGTCCCCTAAGCAGATATACAAATGCGAAGTGCGGCAGGCAGTCCCCAACACACATGTGGCAGCGGGGCACACATGTGCCTCTCGCACGCGGATTAACTGCTCAATTGGATGATGACGTGATGTGCCGTGCTGTCCGTCTGCGTAAATGTACTACGGCCCAGGCCTGATTGCGCAAGGCTGCGACCGTATCTCGGGAACAGAGTGTTCGCCAGTAATTTCCAAAAGCGCTACGTTCGTGCTGCGTACTTTGAAACAGATAGATCATTATAGCTCGCCGTCCAGCTTTTAGGCCTCCCCTTCCTAGCATCGTGCACCACATAACGCCCTCGTTTACTCACTTGTACCTCGCGTGTCGACGCCCTCTATTCTGGTGTTGGCGAGGCCGAGCTCAGGAGGCGTTGCCGTAGTAGTTCTCTTTGCTTCCGACAGGGGTGTCGCTGGGTACCGCGTCAACCATGTTGATCGCGTTGTCTGGGCCATCAATCATGGGGTTCACGCGAAGGCAAAATATAAGACTCTCACGCTCTATGTGAGTTGTCCAAAGACAATCGGAAACGAAAACTTCACAAGCAGGATTCCACTTTGCAAAGCACCTTACGAGAGACGATCTGCTCTGCCGCTATGGATTCCATTCCTTGTCAGATGTCGCGTTAGTGACAGATGGAGGTGAGAAGCCTCAACCATTGCGGCAGAGTTTTGCTGATACTCTCCAGTTACACGGATATTTGCTTCGCACTGGAAGTTGATCTCCTTGCTGAAGAATCAGACTTCCAGGGTTTCCATCAGATATTCCTATCGGAGAACTTTCCCGAACCAGAAGACCTTCACCTGTCGGATGAATCAGAATCGTCATGTGCACCAGAACCGGACTCAACTACATCGGAATCAGAATCAGTTACATGGGTATCGGACGCATAGGAAGACGTTGCTGACGGTTTGACGGTTCAGAGGTATACTATTAAAAAGAGAAAGACTGGCGTTATTCCCTTTTTTTCTTCTGGCTATTTGCACATTATAAGTGAAAGTCGTCAAGTATAAGCAGGACTATTTATCAAACATTCACTACATCGGAAAGTTGATTAGTAGAGATTTTGACAGGAAAAGGGGCTACTTTACCTTTAACGCCAGTAGCAGTTATAAATTAATTTATTGACACTATTTGACTATTTGCAGTATAATTTGAGAAGAAAGTAATAATATTGGCCTAGGTATTTTGGGCTTAAATCTTATTGATAATAGGTATACTATTATATTAAAATAGTATAGATAGAAATATAACTATTTAAGTAATAAGATTAAAAATATATCAGATAATGAGCTTTGAAAAGCGTTGGATATAATATGCAATAGTAGATTTTAGTTATACTATGGTTATTAATAGGTGTGTGATTATAAAAGAAAAATTATAGCAATTTCTATGACCTTACCTAGCCCTATAACGGTAACTTTATTACTCGCAGTCCGAGTATCTAAATGTTTCTCAACTGCACTGCGGCCAAACCAACAAAGAAGATACCAAGAAAGGCCAAGGAATTCCTTCCGTCTCTTGCAAGACTTGAGAATTGAGCTATGGAGAAACAGAGTCAAAATAATGCTACTAGAACCAGAATAAAAACTCAGGAACTTGTACTCGTGTACCAAAAGGTCTCAATTTCTGGCAGTATCATCTGGCCCTCCTTGCTCAGTATTGCTTCAAGGCTTTCCTTGAGCTTTGATAACTGCTCCCTCTGCTTCTCGTAGAAGTCATAGTTCAGCTCGGCCTTTGCGACCCATGACGTAGCTCGGACATGGAAAGTCTGCTCGTGTTTGTCAGAATGTGCTGACAGATCTGAGATTTCCACCTTGACAAACACAGCGTATGTGATCGGCCGGTGCACATAGACCGGGTTGTCGGAGCCGCCAGCAACGTTGCTCGTGAGCACGGCGTTAACGAGGAACGTGTAGGACAGCACCGTGTCTGTCCACGACCCGTTGCAATCGCAAACGCCATTTTCTATGACCTCACAAAACCCTTCTGTGAACTTTTGTAGTGGGCATAGTTTCGAATCGGGCAATGCATTGAGCACGCCGGAAAAGAAGAACTTGTCGTCCACAGCCTTGAGTTGACGGTACCCAATGTTGTATTCCTTGTTTTCTTGCCAGAGGAAGGACAGTAGATAGAAAGTCGCGAAGGGCCCTCGCAGAGTCGCTGTGATCTCATCAGCCAAGATCTCGTAAACATCTGATGTCAGATATTCCCCAACGTCGGTCTGAGGTGTCTGATGGGAAGGGTTGAGGATGGCGGCGCATTTGGCGGCAAACGCCAGCATTTCAGAGATGTCCGTGAGCGCTTCGCAACGCGATTCGTATTGCTTGCCGTGGCTTGGCTTCCCGAAATACCCCTGGAGATCGCAGGCTTGGCTCTCTGCCATCTTGGTATTCTTGACTAGACAACAGGCGAGTTGTGGTACTGAACAATCGTTACGGGAACGGTGATGCCCAGGACGGAGCTACGAAAGCAGGAGAGCCGATGCGACAGTCTGTCTCGTATGGTTTCGTGTCACCTTTACAACTCTTTGGGTCCAATATGAAATGTACAGCAGCATCTACTTGAGGAGGCCGAAAGAGCAGTTTGTTAGTAATAGTCGAAGGACTAGTGTTTGAATATTTCAGAACGGTCGAAACTCGCTCGATCGAAACATGATATAAGGTGTACGCATGTTTCGCCTCCACACCCGCTGCCGGTCCCCCAGTCGAGGTGCTGCATCCCGTACCCCGTGGAAATGAGTCCAGGGGCCCTGCGGTGGCTGTGTAGTCTAGACAGTTCGATATGAGTTCGAAGGAGTAATTTTTGGTGCAGTGCAGCTGAAAATACTATGCGACTCACGACTCCTGCATATACAACCTGCACGTCCCGCACTCAGCTGGCCTCGGGAACGACGGGGTTGCCCTGCATTCGGCATGGTTCCCTCGACTGTGCTCCACTGGCTAATCAATATTGACTAGACTAAGGCTGCGCAAAAGGACATAGAGCCCCGTAGTGGTGTTTTCTGTGGCCGGCGCATACGCTCGGCTCATTGCGGCCTGTCTCTTTTCTGTGGCGATTTGAGCCTAGAGCTGAGCTGCCTACGCGATCTCAAAGCCTGCCATATATCATCTTCACCTTGTTTGGTGGTCTATGTAACAGACGTGAGGTATACTGAATCTCTAGTTGGCGTTTCAGGGAGCAAATGGACAATTCTGACAATTGACATAGATTGCTAGGCTACATGTATTCAGAGTCACGGCCATGGAAACTCCTTATTCTAATTGCCTTGACTACTACCTAGTTCTGGTACCCCGTCCGATCTAACATGAAGCCGCTCAGGCCTTGTTCTTAACGGGCTGGGACAGGCCGGCGCCGTATGCCGCAAGGTTCTTTTCCGTGACAAACTCCATTGAACTTGGGGATGGCCTTCTGGTACCAGTCCATGTTCAGCTGGCAGTTGGTCTTGGTGTACGTCATGTCGAACTCGAAGTGTTCAGCTCCTCCTCCCACACTGCAAGCGTCCATAGCGCTTTTCCAAGCCGTCGCCTTGATCTTCATGTACACGATCGTCGTTGTGGGCACGTTCACAGTGAGTGGATGCTCGGCCGTTCCGCCAATCGTCATGGTTGGCACGGTGTTGATCTTAAGGGTATAGTTCATAGTCTTGGTCTGCGCTTCCGTATCCATCTTGAATCCACCGACAGCCTGGGCGAAGTTGGTGAGGACTTTGTCGAGGTCTTTCTTGGCGTCCTCCTGAAGACTGAAGTCAGAGAAGATGGCAGACAGGAAGCCCGTGTGAAGCTGAGCACGATCAACGTTTTCTTTGTAACTCTGGCTTGCACCTGTCGTGAAGATGTAAAAACCACTCAGAGGTCCGAGCATCGCTTGGAACGTGTTGTCGGCCTGGTCGGCGAAGATCTGCCAGGCATCCTTGTCGTCCGAGAGCTTGTACGGTTCCGGGTGTTTTCGTGCCTCCCTGTTCTGGAGGTCGAGTATTGTCGAATAGAACTGTGCCAGAGACAGCATATTCTGGTTGCATTGCCAGCTGTATATGGCGCCAGCGGTGCTGGTCATATCGACCGGCTGGGACCGCGACTGAATACAATATTACACCTAACCTACACATCTCAACAATGAGAACACAGACGGACTCTATGCCTGATGATATTACTATTGAAGACCGTTTTTTCAGCGCTTTGAAAAGGCAGGATTGTCACGAATTGCGGCGCCTCACCCTAAAGTCGATCTCAGCCCTAGAAATACAGGTGGGCGATTAACAGAACCTTGATATTAGCAGCTTTGGCTCTTGGCTTGTTGGGCAGGACGTTAACAGCTCCCAAGATAATTTTAATATATTCTTTTGAATCCCACTTTTCTTGCTAGCCACGTCCCTTGCTACCTACGCTTATAATGAACTCTGCTGTGCCATCTTTCACCGGTAGCAGTGTTTTATCTGGAAATTTTTCTATGAGAACGAATTGTGCCAAATGGGCTTTTGACATCTACATGCCGACGGTTCATTAAAATACGATAATTTCTGCACTAACGGCTAATGCAAGTGCCTGGTTATGGAGCAAGGCTACCCTCTCGCCAGACATACGTAAGAAAATCCAAGTTCGCATGGCACATGGTACTTAGAAATCAGGTATACATTGCCAAGATTCTTCATCACCAACATGCAGATTGTAAAGTGTCAGCGCTTCACTACGGAGGCAATGCCCTTGTATTTTACCCTACAGCGTGGGGTTTCCGTGGTACTTTTGTTACATAACTGCCACAGCCAACATACATCGAAGTGGGGAGTAAATGTCACATCAGCTGTGGTGCTCGCGTGCTCTCTTTTGCTTTTCAGATATATACCCATTTATCCAACAATCCTGCTCTTTCATCTATTACTGTTTGGAAATTTCAAGACTGGTTATACGTTGGAACAGAATACGCAATGTCTGGCGTATCTGAGCCTGGTGTGCCTTTGAATAGATCATATGGTCATCACTCAAATTCAGCTTCCTCTACCAGCAATAACACGACAGAAACAGAATGCCAAGCAGTCACGGACCCCAGAGCTATAAAGCGGTTGCAGAATAGGGTAGCTCAACGAAGCTATCGTAAGAAAGACTCACATATTTGGCATGAATAGGACCAATATGGCTTCCTTGTTAGATCATTGACACTAACATAGAGGTTACGACAGGGCGTCGGGTGAAATTACGTCTTGCAGAGCTTCAAGAAAGGATTGCTAGATATGAAGGTACAGCCCAAGTGATGGAAGGCGAAGTGTTACCCAACACTACCGCCGTCGTGTCTATGCCGGACCCGGAACCTATGAATTATATGGAAGCTGGACGTTTGACTTCACAAACATCGTTTGGAATGGCTAAACTTGAACGAACCGCAATCACTCAAGAGACAGCCAGCTTCGCACCGGCTGGAGAGAGAGGAAAGACTCCAAACAGCAATAACTCCAGAATCTCGCATGGATCGAGCCTCACAAACTGCCCCATCTCTGGATATCAAATCTCAAGTTCTGGTTCAGACCACTTTGAAGAAAGTCGTAGTCAAAACGAAACAGGCCGCCTGGACCAGAGCGATAACTTGCACTACTTTAATGAGGCTCAAGAGGCTGGCCGTGGTCAGCATCGAGGGCAAATTGTTGACAGCAGCACAAAGAAAAGGAAACGAAATCATGATACAGACCACTACCAGCATGTTCCAAGTCCGAACTTGTGTTCAAGTCCTTCGCATGCCCTTTCTGCTTCAGTGGCTACTCCCATTGCCGCCACACATCCTTTCCCCATCCATGAACTTGGTGGAGGGCTGGACTTTAGCTTCTTAATGGCAAATACAGAGGGTTGGAAATCGTGCTCCTGCGACAAAAGCATTGAGAACAGTTCAAAGTCACCGCCAGACGTCTCCATTTTGTCAAAAGTCCAATCAGCCGCCTCCAATCTGCCAAGTTGTGCGTCGTCGTCAAACCATCCCAATACGGACGCTCAAGTCCTGTCGCCGATTAATTTATCGCTGAATAAGAGATTCCAAAGCATCATGGAATGTGTCGGAGCAATGGGATTTGAGAGTTTTGACGAACTAGTAACTTCATACTACGTCGACGAATTTGAAGAGGCGTCGCAACTTTTCCATGAGCAACGCTTCAGCCGGCACAGAAGGCTTCCTGTGGTGTTTGCAGACATCTTGGAGGGTGCAAGACGATGGAAGCCTTCAGAACGCCGAGGACTTGGTGAGGAAGTACTTAAAGAGGCCGAAGCCGTCCTTATCGCTGAAATCAGTCAGGCTTGGAAAGCCCTGCAACCGCTTACGGACACTGGTGCGTTTGAGCAAGACTGTCAGCAAACGCCTCAGAATACTACAACGCACGCGGATCGTTTGCGTCAGCATCTTAGAACAGTGATATCTACTGAAGTGAGTGTCATAGTATTACGCAAGGCAGAGACTCAGCACAGAACTTGTGCCGGTATGTTAGTGAAGTGTGTAAAGCTGACGGACCTCTAGACGCCAATTCTCTGGACCCTGCTAATGGCTCTTGTAGCATCTGATGGTCCTGCATGGCAACGAGACTGCTCCGGGACCGCGCTCGCGATCATTGCGTTATTGCATTTGGCCGGTCGCCTGCCCAAAGAGACTTTGCTGGAGCTAATAGGATCTTGTCTCTAAGAAGCCCAAGAAGTTTATAGGCAGCGACAAAAATTGTATTAAATATTACGAAACTCTGAGTATATAGACAGCTGGGCTATTCTCCGACTTTGGGGGAATTAATGTCTCACTGTTCTCGCTTTTAATGGATTATCCATAGACATTCTCATCAAGCCCTTGTCGCGAGCTGTAATGGGATCAATTGGTCATAAACTTAGATATATGTTAGATGTACCCTAGAAGATCTGACATAATATCATCACACTCCAACATCTCAAAGCATCTTTCAACTATCGTGCCAAGGGCTATTAATACTCTCAAGCACCATCCAAAACATCTTTGCATGTTTGCAAGAGACGATAATACATTTGCAACACTTGTCTCCGATCGGTCCTCGAAAAAACAAGAAAATAGGCAAGAAATTCGACGCCTAACGGTGGCGAAACTACGGTACCCGGTTGTCTGAACAGTTCCGCCCTCGAAACGAATGGAGCATCGCCTGGTATTCTTGCCAGGACTTTTTTGCAGAAACCTTCAGGCACCAATACGTTGTTGCGATGGATTGGGATCAAGCAGTTTCCGCACCAGTACTGTGTATTGGATAAGAAAGGTTTGCACATGGTGGCGAAGCGGCTGCCATCTTTGAGGCATTGCAGCAGTTGCAGCGCGCACAGGTCTACACCATACGTGTAAAGAGTCGAAAAGGCGCAGTCAAGGCCAGGAGGGCGTGCGTTGACTTCAATGAGATACACCTCTGGATAACCGTGAGGGGTAGTGCTCGAAGCCACAAGGTCAACGACGCCGTCGGTATCGTGATATCTCATGGATGAGTTCTGAACCCGGGCTTCGACATGGAAAATACCGTTGCGAAACCCTAACTTGAGCAGGCTTTTGTGAAGAGAAGCCTTCAACAGCTCCTGTTCTTGGGCACTTAATCGCGTGGGAGATAACATGATGGTCTCACCAAAGCTGTCGGCAATAGTCGCATCACTTGCGTCGGCTGTGCAGGGAAAGTCATCAGTGATTTCAATAAACAAGAGCTCGCCATTCCAAAGCGCAATGTTGGCATCAACTTCTGGCCCACTAATATATGTTTCGAGAAGAATGCCGTGCTTTGAAAGGCCGTCTTTCTCCATTTGCAGCAACGCCTCTCGTAACCCCGATTGATCTTGAACTTTCTTGACTCCCCGAGAGGCGCCACCGCGGCAGGGTTTGACCACCAGAGGGTATGTCAAGCTCTTAAGATTCCCAATCCAAGATGCTTCCTCCAATTGTGCTGCGTTGTCCAGCCGTAGCGCCTGAAAGTCGGGGGTATTGAGAATTTTCCGCGTCTCATCTTTATAGTGAGCTGCAACAATCGATTCTACCGGTTCGGTCTCCAGATTCAACAGCTTGGCTGCTTTTGCAGTTGCAATAACATACTCATCCGAAAACGTGATGATGCCGTCAACTTTGCGGCTTCTGACGGCTTCAGCAAGCTTTTGCGGCAGATCAGCATCACTGGTCATATCGACCGCAATGAAATCGTCTCGGAGGTGGCTGTATTCTGCATCTTCCATGAAGTGGCCGGGCCGATCGAGGACAATGACTGATATCCCCAGAGCTCGTGCTGCGTCGAAAGGCCCCTCTGAACCATATGCCCCTGTCGTGTTATCGAACAGTGGGCGACCACCGACCACTGCCACGCTTAAGGCCGGCGGCTGAGTTGAGAGCACCCACTCAAAGGAAAGCCTGTTGTGAACTTCTCTTTCAAGGAGATCAAATGCTTCGAGATGTGATACAGTAGAAACACATTGTTTGTAAATTAAAGCTCCAGGAGAGGATTGTAGAAGAGGAAGCAGATTCTTTTGCTTCCAAGGTTGGATTGCTGAACAAAGCTTGTCGGCTATCGGAAATGGAACCACATTTTCGATGGATTCAACATGTGCCATCCTGAGCTCCAGAATATCGCGTCGGCACAGATAGCCGTCATGAGGAACGAGAATTACCTTGACTAGAGTCTCGATTTCAGATCTGATTCCACCCTCATGGGCGTCGAGTGCCTTTGTCGCAAGGCAGCTTTGTACAATGGCCTCAAGTGAAGTGCCAGTACCGTCAATGACATTGTCGTCCTCTTCATTTGCCTCATTTCCCGTGTCATCTTTGTGCGTAGATATAACGCCCAGCACAAGGTCAAGAGAGTAGAAATGCGGCGACACGCTTTCACTCGCATCATCACTCACTACAGAAGGCGATAATCTCCAGCGGCACAAAAGCTTCACGGTAACTGCGCCAGCATTCCACGAGTGAGTAAATATGGTCTACGTGATGACTTGCAATGGGTAACATTGACTGACATTTGAATTTAGGGATCTTGATCCAAAATGACTCGGACAAGAAGGAATCGTCCACCGTCGCTGTCGTGAGCCGCAATTGATCCCCCATGTTGGCTTTTGGCTGTCAAAAAGTAGCTTGTTTTGGCTTGTTCCTTTGGCCTTCAACAAGGGTTGTTAACAATATTATTGAATCGGGAGTATTGTAGATTTAAAGAGCTACGCAGGACCCAGTCTACCCTCTCTACTATGATAACCTCAACGTGCGCGTTGTCGCTGACTTAGGCGGCTAACATCATCCATTACCTACGATCATCATTGTGGTAATTGCTTCGTGGTAATTAAAGTCAGATAAGGTAATTATTGGATATCCTGATGTGAAAACAAGACAGTTTGGCACCTCGCTATACATAACGATATGTAATCCCAGTTGTGTCTGACGCTCACTGTGAATCAGTGGCATGTCATTCGCAATGCAGCTCCAGGATCACGTAATGCATAATGTAGTGAACTTTCGTACAGATCATTTCTGTTACTTGATGGCAAACGCAATTGACATGAAGTGAACTGGGCAGCTACCTAAGTACGTAACGTAAACTCTTTGTACCAGCAATATCGAGTGCCTCCCGCCGAGCAGTGGGGACTGATGCCGGAAGGAGCCAGCTTGCTTAGACCCACCAACCTCTGCCTGCCCCTGCTCACGAGCTGAGTCTCAGGGTCTGTATGGTTTAGAGTTAAACTTAGCGCTAAGTTAGGCTTCGCGGCCCGGAGGTAGCACAGTATTAGCGGCGTGGCTGAGCATGGTTCTCGTAAGTCTTTAGCGCAATCGTCTGTGATTTGGCGGATATGAAACAGTGGCGCGCGGCAGACGGCAATAACACTCTGCTCTGTGACTCACTTATTTCCCTTTTTTACCATTTGGCCGATAAGGAAGAGGAGCCTTTGTTGTGACTGCTCAACTAGTTGTTTACACCTTCCAATATTGGTAATAAAGCACATGTTTATTACTGTGCTTCGTACCCAGAGACTCGGATAAATAATCCCATTGCAAATCCCACAAGCACCTGTCGGCTCTTCCTATCAGGGATGGAATATAGTACAAAGTGTTTCATCCTTTCCGCCAAAGCTCATGTCATGTTCCCAAATGAGATTGCTACCTATGTATTTGTCAAGCCTAATACTGTCTACGCTACTCCTTGACGGATCTGGCAGCCTAGGTTGCCAGCTCTGTTTCCGATCTAACGTCGGTTAGGCTGATCTTCTCAGCCCCATCGGAACTCCCCTCGTCATTCACAGCGAGAGTTTGAACTTCGCCAAATGGATTGAAGCGAGCCGACTCTTTTTTGTGGCCGTGGCTCATAATGCCATTGTCTGAAATTTCTGCATTTTGGCTTTCACCAACCACCCAGTCCAGGTTCGAGTTGGAAAATATACGACCGGTGTTGACAGCTTCGATATCGCAAAGAACCATCTCTTCGACCAAGGCTTCGAAGGTGTACGTGGGTGTCCATCCGAGCACACGCTTGGCCTTGGCAGCCGAGCCCAGCAGATTCTGGTTATCAAGTGGCCGGTAGAAATCCGGATTTACCTTGACGCGAATCTTACCACTGACTGAGTCAACACCTACTTCGTCCAAGCCCGTTCCAGACCACCTATTTTAGTTTTCCATGTCAGTACGCAAGACGATTTCCTCTAACACTAATTGTCTATATAAGAACGTAACGGGGAAATAGAGATGCAATCCTTACTCAATCTTGACTCCAATGACCCTAAAAGCCGCCTCCACAAAGTCTCTGACGCTGTGAGCCTGACCGGACGCCAAAGCATAATCGCCACCGACTGGTTGCTGGAGCATGAGATATACGCCCTGCATATAGTCTTTGGCATGACCCCAGTCCCGGACTGCATCCAGATTGCCGAGTTGGAAGCTGTCTAATTGCCCACAGGCAATCAGAGCTACCTGTGTTGTGATCTTGCGAGTGACAAATGTAGTTCCTTCATGCTCATTTTAGCTCTGCCAACTAAACTGAATTGAACCAAACTTACCACGCCTTGGCGATTCATGATTGAAAAGGAGTCCGTTAGATGCGTGAAACCCATATGCCTCTCGGAAGTTCACGGTAATCCAGTACTGGAACTGTTTTGATACGGCATAAGGTGACACTGGGTGGAATGGGGTTTCTTCTGTTTGGGGTGCTGGCATATCCGAACCGAATACTTCTGATGAGCAAGCCTGCAGATATATTAACACCACGAATATCTCACTCATTGGGCTTTGGAGATCAGAGTTTACATTATAGAACTTGGTCGTTCTATCCATACCCAGCATCCTCATTGCTTCCAGCAGTCGGAGAGTTCCCATGGCGTTGGTGTCATTGGTCTGTATGGGAGTGTCAAAAGACACAGCCACATGCGACTGGGCAGCCAAGTGGTAGATCTCATCAGCCTTGATGTTGCCTAAGATCTGAACGAGGCGCCCGACATCCGACATATCACCAAAGTGTATCGTTAGCCCCGGTCGCAAGGGCCTATTTAGAGCTTCGCGCCTAGAAGCAGACGATCTTACTAGGCCGTGAACTTGGTATCCCTTTCCCAGAAGGATCTCAGAAAGATAAGAACCATCTTGTCCAGTGATTCCTGTATACAGTCAGCTACATGAATAGTTGTTTGTGGATTCATAAGACAGGCTTGGAAGCCCTCTTTCGCTCACCAGTAATGAAGGCTACTTTGGGCCTGAAGAATCCACTCATCACCGCCATAGTTTTCTAGTCGAGGTGGAAGAAATACGTGAAAGGGAGATGGTAGTAACAAAGCCAATACAGATTAATCAACCGTTAACTTGGCGCGGGTAAATATATACCTATCATCCAACTGCGATATAAGATTGTAGCCACTGTAGAAGTTACCAACGACTTTTGATCTCTAAGTCACATAGAACGTGGCATTATATAATTCTTACGTGCTCCCTCCAGTACAGTGGCGTCTACATACAAATGATCGATTGACAAATCCAGTTACAAGAACACTATTACTCCATCGTTGGCATTATCTTCATCATGACTGTAAATAGTAAGACCTTGTACTGTGGGCTTTGTAGGTGTATGAAAGCTATAGTCAGAACTTTTACAACGGCATCATCAGCTTGGCCAGGTGGCAAACTAGCATAGACTGTTGCATGAGCGAAGGAACCGAAATGAAAAGATATGTTTCCAATCACGCTTTCGTATGTCACTTCTCATCCTCCGCGCTGTGGCCTGTTCGTTGTATTGCTACATCCTTCTCTGGCAAGCGTCAACGCATGGACATACGATTTGTAGTTCGGCGTTGAACACACGGAGTTAACGCTATATGCATTATTGTCACAAGGTAAGGCTCAGGCCAACAAGCAAGCACATTTGATGAAAAAGCTCTTGCGAAATGATAGAACAGTCACTGTATTACGTTAAGCTGTATGCATATACGTCTGATATGATGCAATTGTACTAGTAAGCGTAGTCAAGCAAGCCCCTTTCGACGCTTGGCTCATGACGTCTAATCCACCTGCAGGATTGGTCGCAGCATGTCGAGAAGGTCAAGTGTGCTGAGTTGCCTAAGAGCCTCCTCGTCCAGCGAGTGTTTCTGGAGCAGATCTTGCCTTAGGCTCGTCGAATTTAAGTCAGGCCCAACTGACTTTTTGGTGAACTCTAAGTAATAACCCATCTTCTCCAGGCCAATACTGTCCACGCTCTGGCATGACCACAGAACAGCCTCTTCAGCACTCTCAGCTTGTTCATCTACAAATGTTAGAGATGACGAACCAAATGAAGTATAAGCCAATCTCACAAATCAGATTTCGATTCAAGAAGGCGAAGACTGGAACTAATAGTTCAGCGCATTGAGGGTACTTACTGCGAGAAACATCCGCGTTAACTTGAGACCACTCTCCAAACCCTTTCCACTTTGCTGGCTGCCCATTTGGCAAAAACTGAGACGGGACGTGCCTGGCTTTGTTGGTTACAAGTATCCGTGGAAGTTTATATGGTAAATTGTTGAGGGCATCGGCTTCGTTGAGATTATCAGGTCCAATGAGATGCGAAAAGACGATGTCGTATCCGTCCGCTTCGCCAAGCCGCCGGACCGCTTCAGTAAATGGCAGGAAGGGATACCAGGTCTCTGACCATACCCAAACCTTGTTCTTCGGAACCGTAGGTATGGAAGCCCACAGGTCAGCTCTTTGCCTCCGGCTAAGAAAGAATTCTGGGTGGCTAGTTGCCAACTTGTGGCGCAGGTGAAAGTTCTCGCTCGGTAGCACAACGACTGCAGCGGCATTCACAACCGGATGCAATGCGGATAGCAGGACATCTAGGTGTCCACGGTGTGGCGGATTGAAAGATCCACCATAAACCAGAATGAGATTCTCGGCATCCTTCTTCAGACGGCAATCAAGCTGTTGGAGGGGACTGAGGGCGACTTCTGAAGACAGTCGAACTTCTTTGTAAGCGGCTTCTAGATAGGATCGAAGAGACATGTCCAATAGCCTAGTAATAACAGTATGGATCTGCCTTACCCTGCACAGAAAGCAGTGATGGGGGTGACGGGAATATGATGCTCCAACTAGGCATTCGGATCGGAATCAATGGTTGTACTTGGCAGGAGGACTTTAAGTCTTTTTTTATACATTGATTCTAGTTTGTAAGCTCCTCAACAGGGATGTGAATACATGCTGCCAACCTCAGTTTGTATTTTGGCGGCCCATAATTTGGTATTCTACTGAGCTAGCACGCGCGTTTTGGTAAGCATCATAGCAAATATGAATACACTATTATCACTCTCTAACATCGCATAACAGTCATTAACACTTGATTATACGTAAGCCTCTTGTACCAATGTTAATCACGTCATTCACGCCCTTTTACACCTTGTGCATCACCCACTCCAGCCGCTGGTCCAGCTAACAACAGAGCGTCATGGAGATGCTTGAATGCCCCCATTGTTTCAAAGCAGCCCCTACCTTAACCCCCCACCTTCTCCACCTCCCCTCTTCTCCCTCTCATCACAGAAAATTTCCAACGGGGAGTGGTGAGTGTGACCAGCAGCCTGCAAAAATGATGACCGTCACACCCGGGATACTGTAGGCTCCGTCAAGATATAGTTTAAGTCGCTTACTGACCATCAGAGCACTGAGTACGAGCATAGCGGTCATTATTGGATGATACGCAAGCCAGGAATCGGAAGCAAGGGTTACCCCAGGACTTGGGTCAGTCAAGTAACCTGTCCACTCAGCAACAGCGACGACTGTGGAGATCAAGAGAGCGGCATAGGCCGTGGGGAGGCCTTCATGGAAGAGTGCTTTTCCATGAGCGCTCTTGGGCACTAAATGCGCCGCCACGTTAAACCTTGCGAGGCGTGCAACGCCAGAGCAGACAAAAAAGGCCAGTATTACCTGATCTGCCAAGGTGTTGAAGCCAGCACAATAGACCATGACAGCAGGAGCCACACAGAAAGAGACCTTTATACAGTATGCCTTGTTAGACTAGAGTTTGTCGGGTGGAGGGAAAACATAGACGAGAAGCTCTTACCAAGTCGCAGAAGCTATCCAGCTGTTTACCCATTTCGGAGCATTCATTCCTGTACCTCGCTACTATCCCGTCGAAGCGATCAAACTCGTATCCAAGGAAAATGAGTAAATGCGCCATGAAAAACGATTGTCTCATTGCACAGAAAACGGCGAGGACTAAATGCGAATGTTTAGCACTCAGACTTGCGAGAAATGATTTTGTGATCACCTGGAACCTTACCTCCGCAAAAGCCTACAAGGCATGGTGGTTAGGCTTGACAAAATCTAATGCTTTCACGATTAATGTACTTTGATCTCCTTACCATTAGAAAGAGTAATGTAGTCTGCTACACGGAGCCGCCTATATTACAAGTCAGTTTGAACTTCTATTGTACATTCACAGAAGGTTGGCCGCGGTTCGGGAAATCCATACTTGAGCATGTCATACTTGACTTGTGGATTGGTTGGCATGTTTAATCGACGCTTTCACTGCCTAATCAAAGAGATATTGTATTCTCTTCTCGCTATATTACCCTCGACGCGAAACAAAATATCTCTCTAATAGGCCGCGGGATGCCAATTCTTCTTCAGCTATTTGCCTACCATCTTATACTTCGTAGGGGCTTCTAAGCGCTACGTAAAGTGTTATCTCGTCTAATCACCATCTTCCTAACATTCATGTTTATAGGTCTCCTCTTCTCGCGTTGGTCATAATATACTCAGAAGTGGTTAACTGGAGCCAAGCTGCACAACAAAGGCTAGGTCAGGGAGAGGCCAAAGCCCACATACCGCGGCTCTTTCGTAATAGAGTGATGCAGCATGACGAGAAGCCGTAAATAGTCATGAATTGTCTCTGCCAAGATATCATCGCCATTCAAAGGCATCCGGGGTGAAGGCGCACGCATGCAGTGAGGCGCCCAAGTTTCGTGTAGCAAGACGGTTTGCCTGTAATAACGTAATAGTTGACTTCGTCTATGTATGCAAGGCAGACGAAAGAAGATGTTCCACGGATTAAACTCGTCGCTTGTCAAATATGGCGTACTGTATAGTACGCACGCCCTTAATCTGTATATTCATGCTGATTCCCACCAACACCCCCTCCTCCTCAGTGGACCATCTGCAGATTCCCACCACCACCGCGCCTCAGTGGGCCATATCACATCTTCCCAAATAGGGAAGGATAATTATTATCACTCACCGTAAGCTGTTGGTTGGTTCTGTCAAAATGCAAAAGTGCCTACATCTGCATACAGGTACAAGCTCCTGGCCTCCGAAGGGTTACATTACCGTTGCCTGCTGATTGCTGTTGCCTTTACGAGTTCTTGGACAATCTACCATAATCCCCAGCCGTGCACCACACGTAACACTGCTAACGTGATGTTCTCCGCATATAGGTGAGGTTATGGAAAGTCATCTTAGCCCCTCATTTCCGCCATATTTTGTTTTGTCTTCGGTCGCCTGGCGTATCGGTAGGACGAGGGAGACCAATGTTTGGTTGCTCTTCTCAACCCTGGCCTCAACTTCAATACCCTCACAACTAGTCTCTCAAGCCTAGCTTTTCGACCATAGTAAATGCGATCGGAAACCATATGCGAACTGCCCTATTAACGGCTCATCATGGCCAGACAACAAGCGAGCTATGCTAGGCGTGAAGCCACAGAAGAAGAAGTGAAGGAGTTGCGGCACGTTGTCGATTCTGTGCCATTCATTGTCTGGGTTGCGCTTGTGGCCAATGCCACAGAGAGATTCACATTCTATGCCGTAACCACACCATGGCGTGCGTATCAAAAGGAACTCAAGAGCACGACTGTGGTTTGTGAACTGATTTGTTAAATAGAGAATTATATACAAAACAGCGCAGACAACATTGCTGTCCCTGGCGCCTTAGGCCTTGGCCAGGCCACGGCTACGAACATCTCTAGTGCTTTTCTCTTCTTGTCCTTTCTGGTCCCTACTATTTTCGCTATTCTCTCGGACACATGGCTGGGGCGGTATAAGACGCTGTTTCTCAGTTACCTGTAAGTTCCACTCGTCTCTGGTACCTCACGGAGACTAACATGTATAGCCTGAACTTTTGCGGATGTCTGGTACTCTTTATTACCTCGCTGCCAGTGGTCAAGACTCAATCCACCAAAGTGGTAGGACTAGGCTTCGCAATGATCTTGCTTGCACTTGGCACAGGTGGTGTTAAGGCTACCGCCTCTCCATTTATTGGTAATCCTCCATCTGCCCCAGAGATATCTGCGGATGTCTAGGTCTTCCTTAGTTTAGAAGTTATTAACCCCCTGTATAGGTGACCAGTATGCTGAGACTGCTCCTCAGCTGATCATCACAAAAAGAGGCGAGCACGTTGTTACAGATCGGGCACTCACACTACAGTACATCTACAATATATCCTACTGGTGAGAAGTCCCGGTACCTATGTAAGATTGACAATTGTGAAACTAATACCATAGCGAAGGCTTACAAACATAGCGAGTTTATCTTTGGTTGCATCTACGTACTTAGAAAAGCTCGTCGGCTTTTGGGCCGCTTATCTGTTACCACTATGTACAGTCTGGACGCTGGTACCTTTGCTTTTGGTATTCCATAAATCTTTCGGTAAGTGGCCTCCTCGCATCGCTTGTTGTTAAGAGAAAAATAATGACAAAGTAAAGTCAAACTTCGGCCACAAGCAAACGTACTACCGCAAGCCTCTCGAGTTATCATGTGCTCGGCACGACATCGGTTTAAATGGGAAGCTGCAACAGCCATTTATCAATCAGAAAACTACGGGCGGCAGGTCGACTGGGATGACAGGTTTGTCTTTGAGATCAAAAGAGGTCTTCAAGCCTGTAAAGTCATGTTCGTTATCACCTCAGGATTCCTTCCATCCTTCAGTTGTCATCACTAGTTAGCTTACACACACTAGGGCATGCTTTGTACCATTTCATCTGTGTATGAACCAGATTACAAACAATCTTGTCTCTCAGGCCGGTCAGATGAAACTTGGAGGTATTCCGAACGATACTATTCAGGCCCTTAACTCTATTGCCTGCGTGATCTTGGGTCCGGTCATGCAAAAGATGGTTTATCCTATCGTTCGGAAATTTGGCTTCCCATTTGGACCAATTGCTCGTATCACCTGGGCTTTTATCATGATGAGTACATCAATGGCGTTTGCCGCGGGAGTGCAGAAGCTCATATATACCAAGGGACCTTGTTACGGTCACCCTTTGCAATGTGAAAATACACCGAACAATGTCAGCGTTTGGGTACAGACACCGGTTTACTTTCTACTCGCGTTTGCTGAGATTCTGGGATTCACAACACTATCCGAGTACAGCTATTCCGAGGCTCCAAAGAACATGCGCAGCCTTGTACAGGCAATGGCCCAATTGAGCTCTGGTGCTGGTTCTGCACTTGGTATGGCCGTGTCGCCCTTATCGAAGGATCCGCAAATACTTTACTTATACGCGGGGCTGGCGGTGACTATGATCATTGCGGCCCCTACATTTTGGTTGACATTCCGGGGGTATGACGAAATGGAGGCATATAAGGAAACACAGCACAGCGATGCGGAGAATAGCCCCGTTGAAGGTATGATGATTCCTGCAATACCTGAGGTTGTGAATACGGGAGAAATAGGAGAGGGCTGTGTAAAAATATCTAGTTAATTGTTAAAGATACTGGAAAACTGAGAATATATATTTTCAAGATGGCGCATTCCACGCGCTTTTTATATGTCTGTTGTGCCACAGGCGCTGCTATGGCAGAAACACGGGGTTCGAAGATGTGTCATGAAAGTCACCGATTTGGAGCAAACAATTTAAAACTTCAAGCTGAGTTTGACATACTGAAGTGTATCATTCTCGATTGTATCATTCCATCCAGCTTTGATCCCATTCTGCCATGTTTAAAGAACTATAATACTCCTCTTACTAGAGATTGAAGATTGCAAAGACCCTACTATCGCATATGGTGATTTTCCATGTATGGATAGTTCTCGCTCTTCCCAAGTCATACTATCGTCTCCCAGCTAATGAAGCGCTGTGTAATCTTCTTACTAAGAGGAAAGATTTACCATCAAGCCAGACAAATTGTAAATATCACGTCAGTTTCTATATGTAATGCGTTTACTGTACTAGCGGTAAATTTCTGTTTCGGTAATATCGCGCCCATATATCGTAGTTGTATATGATTGAAGTTGAATTATATCTCTTTTATATAATCATATATGAAACCAGTACTTAATTATCCAGCTTTGCTTTTCGCATATTTAAACCTCAGCGGCTGAAGTGGAAGACGGATTATTAACTACAGTCACCATGACAGCTGGTGAACGATTACCTCCTATAAATGGGTCTTTGGTGTTATCCCGTTTTGATGCCTTAATTGAGGCGGGCTTTGTTCACTATGACGACCACCAAAAGATTATCGAGCACACTGATAGAGACCTCAAGGTTCGTTCCGTGGTTATTTACTAGTGATATTCACGTTAATAATAAATTATCTGTTGTGGTAAAGTTTCATTTCATCCTTACTAAAGCGCTGGCCCAAAAACCAACTCTTTCTACACCCCCGGAGCAAATTTTAGTCCAAGGCCAAAACAAATCACCCTTGAGCCTCATGCAGCAACGACCGGGGAGCGACATCAATACGAATGGCTACGAAATAGATGACGGTAGCAAAAGCCACTTCCTCATCGCGAATAAATTTTGCTTCTCGCGCCCGCATCTCATGATGCTCACCTGCGATGGGTACCGCAGGCAGCATGAGCCGTTGGACAGGAGCGACTTGGAAGCGGCATGGACCACATTAGCGGCTTTAAACGACCTAGCTACGGACTACGTTGTGTTCTACAACTGTGGGAGGGATGGGGGATGTAGCCGGCTGCATAAGCACATGCAGCTGATGCCCTTACCGGCTGACGGTTTTGCCACCGCATTTCTCGATTCTCACGTTGCGAAAGAGCCCAGAGTACCCTTCGAGTGGTTCCATTATAGGTTCGAGGATGGGGCTATAACACCGGCTACAGTAGCGAGTATTTATGCGCAGCTTCTACGTCAGGCTACCAAGGCGTGGGAGAATTGTACAGGTAACACTGTGGCTGATGGGGAGGCTTGCCCGCATAACGTGGCCTTCACAAGTCGGTGGATGGTAGTCATTCCGCGACGGCGCGCGGCGATTAACAAAGAAGCCGGGGTGAATTCGCTGGGCATGTTGGGGATAATTGCTGTAGCCACCGAGAGGGAGATTGAGAATTGGGTACGACTTGGATTGACCAAGTCGCTTCGGGAACTTGGTGTCATGAGAAAGAAGAACATCGCGTAACTGAGGTGGAATATCTCGTCCCAACAAACCGCTCAATGGATTGCTCAAATTTAACCATTTTCTCAGCTTGTAATCTATCGTTATCCTCCAACAACTACTAGTAAAGTATATAAGGTTTAGTGTTGGGTGGCCTTTTCACTGATTAACCTTGAATATTATAGCGGCATGTTATGGGTGGTGCTGGCAAAAGCGAAGCTTACGTCTCTCGCGACTAAATAACAATGGGTGCTTTACTGCTTACTGCAGAGGGCCAATTAGCTTTATACAGTCTTCGGGAGTACCATTATTATTCTCTACTCGAGCAAAGCCGCTTTTTATCTCCCCTAGATAAGCGCAGCAGTGTTAACTCCGGCTGACCTCGTTTGATCTTTGGCCTGGGGATGTGTGGATGGCCCAACCTCGTATCGGGGCAGTCGTACACACGAAGGTTTTGCGTATGTCGGCAGAAGATGCATCAGGCCATTGAGTCATCTTCAGCGCTGTCGCGTTACTGCCCAACGCTCGAGGCCGAAATGAGTCGCTTTCTTCTTTTCTTTATCCTGCGTGCTCCACACAACTGGCTCCAACATATTCGTACTCAGACTGGCGCGATCATCCTCGAAATGACATATGGCTACACTATCGATCCGAAAGGCCCAGATGTCATGATCGAGCTTGCAGATCGGGCAATGGAACAGTTTTCTCAGGCAGCTATTTCGGGAGCATGGATGGTGGATATAGTGCCTATATTACGCTACCTGACAGAATGGCTACCAGAGGGTGGATTAAAAAGGCAGCTAAGGAGTGGCATCAGACTCTAATTGAGACGACCGAGCGACCGATGAAGTTTGTGAGGAGGCAATTAGCCAGAGAGGTGAACAAGAGTGCTTTGTGATCAACGAATACCAAAAGAGTGAAGGCGAGATGTCCGAAGACGACGAGTACATCTTGAAATGAAGCGCCAATAGCATGTATACTGAAGGCACCGATACCGTAAAGCACTCTTCTTGACAGTATCTATTTAGTTGCCATAAAGTTGACTCCGAGTTTTAGTCCGTACGAACACTCCAGGCCTTCTTTCTCGCCATGAGATCGATCTTGGGGTAGGGGCTAGAAGGACTCCCACTATTGATGACCGAGCCTTCCTACCCTACGTCGAAGCCAACACGAAGGAAGCTCTTGGCTAGCATCCTACCGCGCCCATGGGACTATTTCACGCGGTCACCACGAATGATACGTATGAAGGCTACTTTGTTCCCACAAGAGCAATAATTCTAGCAAACGTATGGCGAATTTTGATTGAGCAGTTTTTCCAAATTCTGGGAGAAGTGCTCTAGTTTTACAATGCAATATCAGATTCCTCTTGCATAACCCGGACGTATACACAAACCTAGTGATGTTTAATCCTGACAGGTTTGTTAGTCTTGCTTGCGAACCAGGCCATCAGATGTATATTTCCGGGTTCGGAAGACACAGCTGTCCTAGGAAAGGCTTTGCGGATCCTTTGTGTGGCTTACTATGGCCAAGTCTCTTACAAGAAGGGAGTGGAAAATGGGCAAGAGCTTAATCCAGTCATTGACTTCGATTCTGGGGTTGTGAGCCGTTCTGTACCTTCTAAGGCTAGTACATCCCGCAGTCCAGAGCACAAAGAATTGATCTTTGCATTCGAAAATGGTCAACAGCAAAGTTAAAAAAATAGAGAAGCATCTAATGGACAAGAATGGTTCGATTAAATAACTGCTTGACTGAACCCAACAATTTTAATAATTTACCTTATCAGAGGTCGGCGCATCACTTCAGTCTCAAGGCAATTGACCAAGTGCTATTGAGCCTCAGGAATGGTGGAGTTGATTCATTTACTATATACTTCTCCCGCTATCGCATTTACCCAAGCTTCAAACTTCCACCCATCAATCATGCCAGTATTTTTAGTGTGCGATGCACTATCACTCCAGCAATCCCGAGTTTTCAAAATAGCTTTGGCCATCCACATGGCTTGAGACATGAAGATCCCACCGACAAGCCGGTCATTTCGATAGCTATCCCAGTCTGTAATCATCAGCATAACCATATCTGCCACTGCTTGGCATGTAGACTCTAGTTCAGGAAACTGTGATGGTGAGAGCGAAAATAATAAGCGTAGTTGAACGAGAAGGACGAATATATAAGTCCCTATAAGGACTTTCCAGGATACCGGCTGCTCACGAACTGTTGAATACAGTAGTAATGTACTTGCACCGTCAGCTAGAGTGCTTAATTTGCCGGAAATAATACCACACTGGTACTGCTCGGCTAACGCCAGCCACCACTGAAGCTGGTCTTGCTCAGCAAGGAGCCTTGTAATAAGATCCTGGCGCCTATCAGCCGACGCCGACATACGAATCAAATCTTTGACATCCAGAAATAAGTTTGGTAAGTTAATGAGGCTCGTCCATAGTTTAACAACGAGATGAACTTGATGCTGCGGCACAATGGGGTCATTGCGAATGGCGTCGTACATGACATTCAGCCAGCGTTCGTCATCACACAAAAAACACCTTTTCCCCATCAAGAGTGCTTCCGTAATCTATCACACACAAAAAAAAAAAGACAATGATGTCAGCTCCATACAAGCATTATAAAGGGTTACTTCATTCATACAATGGGGCCAGCATGGGCCATGAAAAGTGAGAGCTCAAATCTGGTCCGAAAGTTGTGAGGACCTCGGAGCTCGATAAGACGAGCTGCACCCGCTGCATGATATATCCATGAGTCGATCAGAGGCCCACCATGCAGTAGCTAGAGCAGATGAATAGATGGCACAAAATGTAGTATCCAGGTTGCGGAATATTGCACATACCTCAAAGAATTCCAAGAGTAAAACCGCGCATAGCGTTTCCGGCAGTGCTCGTAGATCTTCATCATCTATTATTCCCTGAAGAGCTTCTATTGCCTTTGTATAGTAGCCCAACGATAGAACATCCCTCTCTGATGATAAAATGCCCCTTGAGCGAATGAGCTGCTCTAACCTAACAACAACACAATCAGTGGCGTAGGTGAGAGCTGGAAAATGCCCATATAGACTGGGGATGAAGAATAGGAGACGTCTCTTTTCATATTCAGGCATACTGGTTAAGGTGTGCCCAAAGCACGCCGTCTCAGGACGGAAGAGAGAAAATGTGGTAACGCCGAGATGGTGCAAAGTGAGTGGATCGGTCAAATGTAACAGTGAATAGTTTGATGAATTCCCTGTCGTGAAACTGGTGAGTATACGTGGCTTGTAGCCTGCACGCCATCGGAGACTTCCTTCCAGTAAGGCCGTTCGTTTTCTCGCGATTCGTGTCTGAGGTTCGTTTTCGTCGCCCTCATCAGTGTGTCCACCAGTCTCATTTACAGTTGTAACCAACGCTACGTTTCCGTCTTTTACATCTGTCGGTTCGTTTTGCTGTTGCGAACCTAGTATCCATTCAGGATACTGTATCATGTTCAGCCTCTCATAGCGTCCGTCCCTCTTGCGCTGAATCGCGGCTTGCTTCATAGCCCGACTTCGGATCAGAGTCTTCACTGTAGGGTCTCTCGGAGGTCTGCCTTGATTACAGTCGATGAAGACAATGGCGTCAGCGACGCCACTAGAACTTCCCATGGTTGTACGGGTCTCCTGCAAGGAACTGTTCTAATGCAACCTGATGCGGTAGAGTAGACAGCTGTCCGAAGCTGAACTAGACGCTATGAGAGTAACCGGAGTCCAAGAATGGAAATCCTTGGCTGAAATCTAATGGCTGGCAATTTTGGCTATCGTGGTACAAGGTGTGTTCGCCACCGCCTATGAACACTTGGGATCAGTCAAGCAGAGGATATGGGAGACTTTTCCGACGGCCCGAGAAGGTGAGGACATGTTAACTCATCATCTTACATTGACTTGTCCCTTTGCGGGTCAGGTAGCCCATGCACTCTGTCTGGAAGACGCCATAAGTGGCCCTTATTATATGTATGAATTTACACCAAAAACCACTCGACTCCCACCTACTAAACGTAAGCGGATGACCAACGACGGGCTCCCAGCTAGTGTGCTTCGCTGACAAGGGGTCGTAGCCCCTAAAGTAGAAAAGCGCGGTATAGAATGGTGGGCAAGTTGCTTCGAAAAGCGCTACTGTACAAATGCATTGTGTGTTAGAGGTGAATTTGATGATGCGCTATCCAATCACAACCCACCATGTATTCGCAGTCTGAAGCTACCTGGAAAACTCTCCGACTAGCTGAAGCCTCGAAGCAGACCTATTATCGGCATTTGTCGGTTCTGCGGCGCCAGTTTCTGTGCTGTGTGGACCCGTAGCTACTCGCGTATGTGTATGAGCTTTGGAGGTTGATCAACTTGGTGGAGGGGGCTGGTCGCACACTTTAGCACCTCAAGACAGCAGCGCCAAAAGCTCACATTGTAAGCACATGCAAATCTCACAGCCATTGCCTAGTTCTTGCTCTGAGATTTACTCAGAATCTTCGTATTAGTAAGATTGGAAATGACAGAGATGACGGATTGACTTTTGGTCGGTTAAGTCCAGTTATGGATCCGATATGGGACGTGGCTTGCAAGATTCTAAATACACAGCAAGGCTTATTTTAGTATGACCTAGGACTATTATTATCAATATTCTTGGAACCTTGACTCGAATAGACGAGGCTGTGGTCTTACAAAGAATAATTCAGGATTCGTCACTGATATTTGTTGCAATAAGGATCGGTACACTTTGCTCTGGGCCAAAATCGCCACCGCTGCATGGGTTCGCATCATTTCATTGTCTGACTGCGTTTGAGTGGATGGTTTTGTACCTTGTTCCGCTGTTCCGTCTTGGTAATCACTTTTTGCGGACTAGGACGCGTATACGATAGCAGGGCCGTCCCCAGATAGCAACGAAACCCTCGCGCACAGCGCCTCTGACGCCTGCAGATGGATATTTTAGTATCAGCTGTAGCTCTCCAAAATTTGCACCGAAGTAATTAAGACGTCCATCTCATTGATTGAGTTACACACCATAGAAACTTGGTGGTGGGGCTCACGGGACGTAGTAACGCTTTCTAGGATTGGACGCCATACTAATTAATAGTGATTACCCGTGAGACCTATACTTGGATCTAGGCCCTACGGTAAGTTATAAATTCAGCTCAACTGGCTTATCCCCCAGACTTTATGATCAAACTCAGCTCAGCAATTTTGAAGAGAGGAGAAACTGGCAGACAATCCGCACTTGTAACCAGATCTCAACCGACTAGATTCCACAAGCAAAATGGCTACTCGAGAGCATATCCGATGGAATTCGCAAGGTGTTGAGAAAATTCCTGAAGGCGAAGCTGATGACATTCAAGCTGTCGTTGAGATATTTAACGGGTTGCATCAGGCCATGTTTCAGATGAACGGACACGTCATGTCTGGAACTCACGGACGAAGCCATGGTGTTGTCAAGGGCACGTTTATCGTCCCGGGCAATCTACCTGGCCACCTGAAACAGACGGAACTATTTGCGCAGGCTGGTGAGTATCCGGCCGTTTGCCGCTACAGCTCTGCCCTGCCAGACCCGAATGTGGATGTACGAAGCAGTCATCTAATTCCCGTGAGGTTCTGTGAATAACGTTTTGTAGGACCGCATTCCCCAGCCTCGAGGTTTTGCGATAAAGCTGTTCGGCGTTAAAGGTGAAATGTTTCAGGAGGGGCGCGATTCTCCTACTCAGGACATTGAATTTAACAGCACACCCATTCTGGATTTGGCCAACGCAAAGACAGCCAAGGAGATAATTGCGCTCAGACTCAAGCACGGCGCAGATCTAGTTGGCCTCTACAAAGACTTTGATGCCCGCCCCGATGCCGAACTGCACAAGAGCCAGGATCAGATACGCAGCACTCACCTAGAAGCCACTCGCCAATACTCCCAGACGGCCTACCGCTTCGGTGACTATATAATGAAGTACTCCCTTGTTCCATCATCCAAGATGCAGCGTGAACTCTACAAACAGACAGTCCAATCTAGTGACACGCAGGACGTGCTGCGCCACTGGCTACGCGACTTTCACTTGCACAATGAGGCAGAGTACGAATTTCAAGTGCAATTGTGCGAGAATCTAGAAGACCAGCCGATAGAAGATGCTAGTAAGGAGTGGGATGCGGAGAAGTATCCATGGGAGACGGTTGCCAAATTGGTAATTCCGAAGCAAGACAGCTACAACCCCATTAGGAAGAAATTTTGGGAGGACCACATAGTGATCAACCCATGGCACGGCCTCGTAAGCCTGCAGCCGCTAGGGGGATCAAACAGAGTGAGACGAGTCGGTACGTAACTACTATTGCCGATTTACGCCTGGATATGCTAACGGATGTTGCAGTGTATCCTGCCAGCAGGGCCATGAGAAAGAAGCTCAATGAACTAGAGCCAGTCCACTTAAAAACTATTGAGGACTTTCCAGATGCTTGAAACGTCTGATGCACCGGATTCATTCCTTTTGACTCGATCTTGTACAAACTGTGCAGTTGACTCAAGTTGGTTAGAACATTTGGATAGTATCGTATATGCATAATTGAGAGTCATCGTGGACAAATATATACGAATACCATTGCCTGAAGTAAAGTAAATTTGCTGATGAAACGAGACAGGATCAATGAGGATACTTGATTAGGTACGGTATCTTGCTTTTACTTGTGTGAAATATCTTGAAAGGTGGTTTTCATTGGAGGAACTGGGATCACAAAACAAGTAGTGGGCTCCTCAGACAATTACGGTATTCTGAATTATACAGGTAGATTACGCAAACATTCTATACATAGGTAAAGAACAGGCTTAAAGAGAATATTTATCGTATTGTGCCGAACGGATCTTGTGGTCGGATGCTAGTTTGAAGAAATGAAAAAATAGACTTCTACAATGGGTTTTTGGCAAAGGGACATCAAGTAGCTCCGATGCTAATATACCTTGATTCTAGAGGGCATGCCTTGTTATTTCCATCCTATGAAGGTTCTAGAGGATTCTTTCGGCCTAGTGGATTAGGGAATATACGTATGGGGTACTGAGTTCCCTTTCTCAAAACCTGCACCCCTCAAAAATCATCACCAGAGGGGGAAATAACCCAAAGAGCGTTTTTGTAACATAGAATAGTCAAAAAGCTTCTCAGCCGGGCCAAAATGCTCTCCAGTACAATGAATTTGCAGATTTAATAATTGCCGCGCGGCTCGCATTTGTGCTCCCCTTTAGACTTAGCGTCGCTTTACTTGACCCCCTACCACGTCCAGAATCTGACTTCCGCAACGACGCTCCTGAATAATGATAATGACGGTAATATTCAGCATCGAAGCTTCATCAACTCCGTCGCTTGCCTTCAGGAGGTCGGAGTTTGCCTGCGGCGTTTTTCACAGTGGCGGAGTTGATGGTGTCAGTGGATTAGATATATACTGATCAATCTCAGCAGCTTCACTATAAAAACATAGCCATTGGACGACTAAAGAACTCTGAATCATTCAGACAATATCAAGCATAACATCTAAGCAACTATATTACAATATTATCTTTTACACACATTCGATATCTATCGCCGAAAAATGTGGTCAAACATCTCGCTCTATGCCTGCTTGCACTTCGCAGCTGGTGTCTTGGGTCATGGCGTGAAACCGAATCTAAGCGCAACCGTTACCAATGTGCCTCTACCAACTAAAGACGTACATAGTACTGTTGAATTTCGAAGTGGTCAGACCGGCTTAGATGGAATGAAAGTGTTTCCATCTAATGACACGACAGTCGATTGGTGGTATTTTGATGTTGTTTCCTGGGACCATAAGAGCGAAATCGTCATCACTTTCTACACCGCTGGCGCCGCTTTCAATCAAAGCGGAACACCCAATATGGTTCACATTTGAGAACGGGACAGACTTGAACATCCACCTCCAGGCGGAGGACGTCAGAATTGGGACCATCGGTAACGGAAGTTCTGGGGAATACCAAGGCGTGGGTGATTGGCTCGGGTCCTCAGATATGTCCCAGTACGTGGTTCGATTGGATTCGCCAAGTAATGGAATATTTGGAGAGATTATTCTGAAAAGCGTAAGTCAAAACCAATGAACACTGCAATGCTTGTCTTTTTACTTTTCTGATTAATATACCAATCAGGTTGCCCCACCGCATCTGCCTTGCACTGACGATCTAAGCGCTGGCGGCGATTTGCTGTTGGCACCGGGAGTAGGCTGGGTAAACGTGATGCCTGATGCAGATGCCAGTGTCTATTTCAACTGGTCTGGAACTGTCGTTGAGTTCTCTGGCACGGGATACCACGATAAGGTTAGGTTACTACTGATCGTCAGATGTGAAGTTGTTAACTGATTACCCTTAATTAGAACTGGGGAAACGTGCCGATGGGTTCCACCTTTCGCAGCTGGTACTGGGGTCATGGCCGAGCAGGTCCTTACTCCGTCGTCTGGTTTGACTTTCTTGCGGTCGATGGCACCGAATACAAAAGTAGCTATGTCGCCCGTGATGGCAAAATCTTGAACGCAGCCTGTGAAGGTATCAAGGTTCGCCCGTTTGGAGCCAACTCTACTTATCCGCCGACTACTACCACTGGATCGCCTAGCGGTTTCAATATTGAGCTGTTGGTCGGGCATGAGAATACTCAAGCTAAAGCCACTGTTACACATGAATTCTTAAACATTCCAGGTGCAATCCAACGATGGATAGGGAGCTTTGAAATCCTGGGATTTGAAGGTACAGCATTATTTGAACAACTTGTTGACTCTCATTGATAGTGATATTATGGAACTGTATTTTACTATTTTCATTATAAGTTAATATTTTATATTACATCTTAATTTTCTCATTTGTCTTGGTAGTGTCCAATCGTGACTAGTATTCTATTATGACAACATACGGTAAGCCTCCTGCTAAGCGAACATCTTGGAAATAAATGACAAAGTCCATGGCGGACATTTAGAACGCATTGAAATGAGAATGCTTTATATCATCGTACCATTCCAAGTGGCCACTTTCGCCCAATCTGGTAGGCAATTGCCCATGGCACAATAGAACTCATTCGGATACATTCAGTACTTTCGGCTGACAGAGTAGGTATTGGAAAGCTACCAAGAAACTAGAATGACACTGGTGTAAATCACAGGTGAATTCAAGACACAAAACTAATGAAGAATGAAACGCTTCAAGAGGATGTTAAAACCATTCTGACGGAAATCAACCCCGATTTCTATTTCTCTATTAAACTCAGAGCAAGAAACATTTAAAGAAGTGTATTTATATATTTTTACGAATGCATTACAAATGTGAGATTTATAAACACTCCCCTTCAAATGTCGTGTATCATCAAGCTCCCAACTGCCTCCAAGCATAGGTTTGTCCGTATCTTTAGAACATTTCTTGGTTTGTCCTCGATGATCTACTTTACAGCTTCTATAATAGTTTCTCCAACGGGGTAAATTTAGACTTGCCGCATATTCCCAATATCTCAATGCTGCGCAACTTATCGACTTCGCTAATGTCAAAAGCCGGCTCATTTATTGACTAAGGAATAATATCATTATGTAGATGTTTATTTATTTATTTATTTATTTTATTATTAACGTCTACTAAGTAAGCTAGTTATATAAGTCCTCATCTAGGCACTAGGATAGTAGAAGCCGCTGAGTTTAAATTAAGCATTTACTACATTTTAATATAATAAAGGAAATAGGGGAGTATTAATTTATTTTACGTATTTATATTTATAAAGGGGGGGCTATATAAGCTTATATCCTTTACTAGTTTTTAAAAGTCCTTATACCCTTTATTACTAAGAAAATATTAAATATAAGTAATCCTAAAGTATATTTTCTTTTTAAGTACCTTAGAGAAGAAAGGGGCTACTATATAATACTTCGTAAAATATCCTTATATCCTTAGCTTACTATACTTATAAGTAGGCCTAGCGTTATATTTAAACCTTTTATAATATTTTATAAAGTCCTTATATTTAAACCTTTTAGTTAAAAGCCTATATAAGATTAAATATAAGAGGTATAACTCTAGGGGTATAAAGGGAGCTTTATAAAAGCTTTACCTACCTGCTTTATAAAGCTCTAGGTAATTATTATTTTAGTTATTATTTTATATTTCCTTATATTTTCTTTTTATTTACTTTTTAATAAAAGTAATAGTAAAGTAGTTTTTTAAGTAGTAAAAGAGTTTTAAACCCTCTTTTATTAATTAATTAGCTTTTTTATTTTTTAATATATTTTTATAACCTAAAACCTAGGCTACTTTAGTTATTACTTATAAAAGTAATTTCTAAGTAATTTAATATAACCTTATATAAGCTCCCTAAGATAAAGTAGGGTTAGCTTTAATATTTTATTTACTACTGCTAAGTTATTTAAAAAAAGTAAAATTTCTTAAATATTTAGGTTTACTAAGGTATATATTTTAATTAGCTTTATAATTTTAAAAATGCCTATTACTTTAGTATTATAAACCTTTATATTAGTAAAAGGGTTATATATTATAGTTTTTTTATAGTTATAGTATATAATAGCTCTTTATTTTATATTACCTTATTTATTTTATAACCTATTTAAGTAAGTAAAAAAGGTAAACCTAAGGAGGTTATTAAAAAGCTTAAAATATTTTTCTACTACTTTTATTTTTAAAAAACCTCTAAAGTCTAGGTTTAATTTAATAACTCTATTATTTTTAATAAAAAAAAAAAGTTAGACTATTTTACTTACTAAAGCTATAGTATATTATAGTTAAGTAAAAGGGATTTTAAAAAAGAGTTTCTTATTAATATATTTATTAATTAAGTAATTCTTATTTAAGCTTATAAAATAGGCTATTATATAAAGTCTAGTTTATACTACTTATACTAATATTAAAAGGACTTTAGACTTTCTATATATAATAAAAAAGTTAATTATTTTTTAAATAAAAATAATTACCCTAGCTACTGCTTTAAACAGCTAGTTTAGGATTATAATTAATCTTATTAAACCTATTTTTACTTATTTACCTAAGTTTATTATATTTTATCTACTTTTACTAAATTAAAAGGCCTCTGTCTTATATAAAGCTACAGAGGTAATATAAGCCTTAGCTATTATAATTATTATATTTAGTAAAGACCTTTTTTATATTTTATTTAGAAATCTTAGAAAATTAACTACTTTAAGGGCTTTTTCTTTTATAATCCTAAAGTACTTTTTAAAAAAAAGCTATAAATTTAAGTATATTTTTAGTTAGTAGACTAAGTCCTAGGGAAATATAATCTTTCCTCTAAAGTCTACTCCTTTATTATAAATCTAGGTTCTAGTCTTATAAAAATATATAAATTTAACCTTATCTAAGTTAAAGAAAACTATATTTCTATTACCCTAGTTTAAAATATCCTTAAGTTTTTACTAAAGCTTTTAAATAGTTTTTTTAATATTAGCTCCTATTACTATAATACTAATATTATTTATATACCTAAACTAAGTATTTAAGTTATTAAGCTTTAGACTAAGGGAAAAGTAAAGTATAAAAACAATAAGTAAAATAAAAAACCTTTATAAAGCTCCGTACTTTAGCTCTATTTTTAAAAAAATAATTCTATAGCTATTTTAAATAAAGGCCTTTTAGTTACTTATAAAGGAGTTAATCTATTTTATAAAAAAAAGGGACTACCTTTATTCCCTAAGTTTATATACTAGGCAATTATATATAACTATATTAAAAGTATTAGAAATATTAAATATAAAAAAGGAAATAATAAAACCTTATACTAAGGTAACCTTAGTATTATATATTAAGTAAGTAATAAAGTCTATAGTAAACTTTTTTAAAAAAGCCCTAAAGTATTATTTTAATAGAATTTTATATTTTATTACTAAAAAAAAGACTTTTTTAGCTAAAAGCTTCTTAAGGCCTTTCTTTATATAGGAAAGTAAGGAAATAAGTCTATAGCCTTTATATATAATATATATTTTTTTAAACTTCCTAGGTTTAGGAATAATAGTAATCTCTATATTTTAAAAAAAAAGTAAGTAGTATTTTACTATTAAATAACTATAGAAAAGGTTAATTATATAACTGTTAATAATTAGCTAGGTAAACTATAAAAAAGTAATTAATATATTATTTATATTAGATACTATATTACCTAACCTTATTATAGTTTTTTTAACCTTTAGTTTTAATATTATTTAATCTTAGTAAATATTTTTATTAATAAAAAAGTCCTCTTCCTATAAGTTTAAGATATTCTCCTTTATTATTTTACATTTAAAAAGTCTATTTTTAAGGAAAATAACTTTCTTTATAAAGTTTAAGATACTTTTATCTTTATTTATTAAAAAGGGTAGTTAAAAGTAATTTATTACCTTATACTATTTTACTATTAACTAAATATTTTTAATAATACTAGCCTCTACTATAATTCTATTTTAATAAACTTACTTACTATAGTAAATAATATTTTTAAAGGTTTTATAAGCTCCTTCTTAAGTTAAGGAATTAATTATAAATTCTTTATAGGCCTTATAGGCTACTTTATACTTCTTTAACTACTATAGTATACTATAGCTATTTTAGTACTTAGTTTTATTAACTACTTTTATAATTTATTTAAAAAGGTTTTATAAAGCCTTAGTATATTTATCTAAGTTAATTTTTAAAAATATATTTAGGTTAACTAAGGGGAGGGTCTAGGTATAAAAGTATATAAATTAGCTAAAGTCTTCTTAATATTTTAGTAAAATATATTTTTTCTTTACCCCTAGGGTTATCTTAAGGAAATTAAGTAGGTTTATAATTACTATATAATAGTTTAATTTTATATTAAGGAAATATTTAACTTTAGTTAATATAAAGTAATTTATAAAAACTAAGTTAATATATTTTCCTAAGTATTAGGTAGGTATATTTATTAAAGTAAAAAGAAAATTATACTTTTTTACTTATTTTATAATTTTATTACCTACTAAATCTATACTCTTACTTAAATCCTAAAGTTAATATAAAATATTAAAATTACCTATAATAATTAAGTAAAAAGGGGGAGGGCCTTATTTAATAAAGGTTTTTATAATTAAGTTTACTAAGGCTTTTTAGTAAATATTAATAATAGTATATTTATATACCTTTATTTAATATATATATTTATTTTTTAATTTTAAGAAAAAAAGTTATTTACTAAAGAAGTTTAGGAAAATTTTAATAAAAGTAAAAATTAAAAGTTTAGTATTTCTTTAGTTATTTAAAAGATTATATATTTAATATTTAGGGTAATTTTTAATTTATTTCTTATTTAAAACCTTATCCTAAGTAGTATAAGGCTCCTAAATTAATATAATATTATAGCTACCTTCTTATATTAGTAAAAAGGTAATATTTTAGTAAAAACCGTACTTTTTAATATTAGCTTAAAAAGTTTTAAGGTTAGTATTTCTTTAGCAGTTATAATAAAGCCTACTATTTATAAACTTACATTAAGAGGTTTATTAGTTTTAAGGGAAGTATTAAATATATTTTTATCCTCTTTAGCTTTATTACCTTTTTTATTATTTAGATTAGTTACGTAGACTACTAACTTAGTAAAGGAGGACTTTTTATAAAAAGCTTTTTTATTTAAGTTAACTTTAATAATAACCTTTTTAGCTAGGGCTTAAGGGGGGAAAAGAAGTATTAAGCTAAAGATTAATAGTTATAAATAAAGGCCTATATAAATTCCTAGGTTAAATAGTTTCTTTATATTAAAGGCTAAGGTAGAGGTAGGCTTTAGTTTAAGTAAGTTAACTTTAATATACTTCTACTAGCTTAGTTTTTAAATTACCTAAAGTTATACTTTAGTAATTTATATTTTTTCTTTATTTTTAATAACTAATTTAGTAAGGTATTTTAAAAAGTCTATTATATAAAGGCTATTATAGTTAATATATTATAAAAGGGATAAATAGTTTACTATAATATTATTATATTTAATAAATAGTTTATTATATTTATAATATCTTTTAGTCCTAATACAGTTCTATAGGTTATAAAATCTAAAGTATTATAAATATTAAATAACTTAAGAGGGTTAAACTTAGATTTTTACTAAAAGGGAGCTGCTAAATAGCTTAAAGCTAGGCTTAATATTTTCCTTAAAGGAAATAAAGTAGTAGTATATATTAAAAAACTCCTTAAAAAAAGCCTTATAATAGGCTGCTAGTAGGTCTTTAGCCCCTACCCTAGCGTACGCCTCCTTAAGGATTAGCGTATTAGTAAGGTAAATCTTACTTATATTTATATAAGTTTTTAATATACTGTATATAAAGAAAACTTTTTAAATATATACTTTTTTAATTTTTAGTTTTTTACTTTTTACTTATAATTAAAGTATAATAATTTTATTTTAAATATTTTAATTTTTACCCCTAAGGGTAAAGCTTAATTAAACCTTTTAAAAGTAAGTAATATTTTTATTTATAAGTTTTAAAATCTTAATTAATTTTTATTTAGCCTTAATAACTAATAGCTTTCTCTATATATAGTCTAGCGGAATTTAAATAAAAATATAATTATTAGATTTTTCTTTAGGTTTATTAATTTTATTTCCTAGTTTATTAGTAGTATAGGCTGGCCTTTTATTATTAAAAGCTAAGTTCTTTAGGGCTATAAGTCCTTTTTATATTTTTTTATTATAAATATCTTTATATAATATAACTTATACCTACGTAACCTTAAGGCTATTCTAGCCTACTTTTCTAATAGTTATAGGTACTTCCGCTCTAGTAAGGTTTTTAATAAATTTTAGTTTATTACTTTTAGTATAAAATATATTAGCTAACGTTATTTTAGTTAATTAAGCAGCTTTATCTTTACTACTTAATTTCTTAAGGTTCTTAGGCCTCCCCTTAGAATTAATATAAAAAGTAATAAAGTTTTTAAATATAGTATTTAAATATAACTAAACCTATTTTACTATTACTAAGGAAAGTTAAAAAGTATATTATACTAGGTAAAAGTTAATAGCTATAATTATATTTAATACTATATTTTATTTAATCTATTATTATATATTAATTTTATTAATTTAATTTATAATTCTACTTTTAATAAAGGATTTCCCCTTATTATTTAAGTTAGTAGCTTTTTTTATATTATTAAAAATAAAGGTAATAAAACCCCTTAAAGCTATTTATACTATATATAATACTATTATAATACTTAGTTTTACTTTATTAAAGCTAGGTAAAGGTATTTTATTTATACTAAGGGCTTTTCTAAAGCGTCTTTTCTTTTTAAAGGTAAAAGGAAAGATTATAATCTCTTCTGTTTTTAAGTTAAAAAAAGTTACTTCCCTCTAAGGCTAAAGGGCTATTATAGGTCCAGGGGCAATAGAATTTAATCTATTCTAAAGGTCCAGAGGGTTTATAAATATTTCTATTTCTCTAAAGTCCCTAGATAGGACCGTAAAAGTAAAAATCAAGGTCGTTTTATCTAATAGCTAGTCAAACAGAGTAAGGGTTTTTAATAGTTAAGCACCCAAAAGGTAGGGTACCTATAGATGTAGGAGGGAAGCTTATCATTATGTAGATACCACCTGTGCATAATCTTAAGAATAGTCGTCTAAATATAAAGGCTTGCAAATAGGAAAATACACTCATTAGCTACTTCGTACAGGGTAAGCGCTACCATGTGAAGCAAACCTTCACCCTTCTACAAACACCATAACCATGTTACAAGAGGATATTTGTCGATACCCCAACAATGTAACCGTTGGCTTCAATAGCAAAGACTAATCCTTCTGGTAAGAATAAAGACATACTATAATTTGGAAACATATTGTTTGCAACGTGGTTTCGCAGCATCTTGTATGCATATCGCCAGGACGACGACAATCCCTCGAAACATGAATGAATTACCTTATCTACTTGGGATGTCATCAATTTGCCATAGCGATACCCCTAGAGAAGTCGTATGGGCCGTCAGATTGAGGGGTAATATAAAATCAAACTAAATTCAATCCTGATTGACTTTCTCTGGTCGATACATGCATCTCTTGACTGGCTGCCTTGGACTGCGTCAACTAAAACGGTCCGCAAATTGGGCTTGTCGGTTTGCCAATAGGTCTTTCGACCTCCCCATTGGTTAACGCCTCTAAGGCAGCCCTACATACTCCGAGCCGGATAAAACTTGGTTCCACTGGACCATGATTATGCCCCGCAGACAAGGGGTTGGATTTCCCAGACTGGCGTTCCGGATCTGTGCTCCGCATAAAGTGCTCCGCCTGTATTGCCGAAGCCAGTCCAGCTGTAACTCCAAGTCGGCAAGCGTATGATCATATTATGGGCAAAGTGACAAGCGAAGAACATTCGTTCTGGCCAACAGATGGGCGCCAGTGCCCCTAAGGGGCAAGGCTTCGAGAGTCACCTGGTATCATTTTGCAATGGCCTTGTGACTCCAAAAAAGCTAGGCTGCCCATGACATTTCGGGCTTTGCTCACTAGAGTCCTAGAGTTTTACGAAAGGTACAACGCACAAAAACCTACGCCAAGTGTTATCTTCATTTTAGTTATTAGTGATGCATATGTCATTGAGCATTAGTACTATGCACGCGCCCAAGGAGACTATCATCAGCAGTACAGAAGTGCAAAAGTGCTGTGCTTACAAGGCGAATTCATGCGTGTGAACGCCTTCGATCATAGCATAGAGCTCCTTGACCAATCCATCGCCGTCCAATATGATCACATCCCAGCCTGTCATTCCAGGCATTCCATCTGCATTACCATACGTCCAGCTTTGCATGATCACATCTCCGTTAAGCCACAAGTCCCCTCGCGGTTTAAATATCCATTCACTCTTCTCATCAGCATGAAGTGCTAGAAAAAGTGATCCATCGTTAGCGAAGCGCGATTTAAAGCAATCACAATCTTCTTCTAGATTTAGGACAGTTACATACCCTTCCACAATTCTCCCATCGCTTCATAGCCTTTGAAGTCGCCAAAAGGAGTATGGCAAGTGATGTCTGGTCTCCAATGCTCCTGTATCAGAGACCTGCGGATTGTGTCATTTCGTTCGTTGAAAAAATCGAACGTGGTAGCCTTTACTAAGCTGACCGCCCTACTGGGTGAGATTATAGCTGTCATGTCGTGGACTGAAAGATCGAGAATAACCGTTGTGCTAAGGGTAGAAATTGACCAAAAGTTGTACGGGCAGATGATCAGCTATTTATATAATTAAGTGGCCTTAGTAAGCGCGTCCTATTGCTGACAGAAGCAGCCTTATTTGCATCTCAGTATTCCCTTCACAGCTTTGTGGCCTCGCGTTGACTTATTTTCTCGGAAATAAATGCTTATTCTGGGTCCGTACACAGCCATGAGATCCATAGCGGGCAATAGACTAGATATCGGATTAGCACAGCCTCCCATGTTGTGAACAATATGTTCCAAATATCGGAAAACAATTCATGGACACAATACAAATACTATCCCGCTCATCCTATACAGATAGGAGATTGGGCGATGCTATGCCTTTAAGAAGGCAAAATATCGTGATTGCCCAGCAGAGTATCAATATCACTTTATACTCAGTGACGCAAAAAGAGAAAGAACTATGAGATTTACTTTAAATGCGATTCTGGCAATACAATGAACAATATGTGAAAGTCAAAGGTAGTGTCTTTCTATTTACAGCTCTTCGCTTCTTCGCTAGAACATATTTAGCCCTTGAAATTCGGCTGAAAGTAGGTAGCTTGCATTGGTCCAGCTTGGCTAGCATTCTCAAACGCCTCCTCCCATTTATGCAAGGGAAATCTGCCGCTGACTTGTATTCTACCCTTTTCCCCTATAGGAAGCAGTCCTGTCTCAATCAATCGAATAAGCTCATATACTTGCTGCGGCGTATACATAAAAGTTCCTTTCAGAGTTAATGCTTTGAACATCATCATGTGATACGGAAGGTCGATATCGTTCATTATGCCACCCATGAAGCTGACGCGACCACCTCGACGCAAGGCAGAAATACCAGCTTTGATATACAATGCTTTGGCCGCTGAATTTGGTGAGATGTCGAAATACACGTCAACTGGTCCATGCGCCTGGAGAGCTGCAGTATCGGCGCCTAGATCTTCCGATATAGTGACCGGCACGACTTTGCTATTGTTTGTGTCGTGACAAATCTGTTTTAGCTTGGCTTCGTTACGGCCCACAGCGATTACCTTGCCTGCACCCATCGCCAGTGCAACAAGCACAGCCGCGCTACCAAAATTCCTAGTCGCGGGCGCCACTATCACCGTTTCTCCGGGTCGAAGGCTAATATCACTGAGTCCACTAAAAGGGACTGCGAGAGTGCTGATATATCCGAGATCTTCAAAACTGTAGCCCAACTCCTTCGTCAAGATATATTCATTCAGCACATGGATGTTCTCAGCTGGGACTTTGACTTATTCAGCCCAAGTACCGTTTCTCCACTCTCCATTCATAAGCGCTTGGCCTTCTGGCGAAGCGCCCATATGAATGCCCTGTAGAAGTGGCAGCATGTTAAGGTTGTCACGTGGTCGAATGATGCCGGATGTATAGACCAACATTCCGACTTGAAGATGAGGTGTATCTGTCGCTGGTGCAGCAATGCGACAAATTCCGTTGGTACCGGGAATCAAGGGAAGGGGATATTTGTAACCCCGGACGTTCCCATTACTGAAAACCTCTTTGGCATATGACACAATGTGTGAGTTCAATGGCCGTAAAATGACTGAGCCGGCAGATGGCAAGGCGTAGGAAGTTCGACAACGGATCCCGGCTTTGATGGAGAAGTAAACTGGAGACCTCTGAAAGTCTCAGGAAGCTGAAAATCTGGGTGAATACTCATGTTGTTGCTGAATGTTGGCGAAAGTCTAAGACTACCATGAGAACTAGTTGACTGTTAATGCAACCACTTCCTTCACGGAGAACGAAAGGCAACGTGAAATATTTATATTCAAGCACTTTAATATCATACAGAATTAAGGTCAAGCAAAATGTAAATGGTTTCTTTTCATAACACGGAATTTATAACTTATTTCCGGCGCATACACTCATTAATCAAAATGCTACCATTTTCCGGAGTCTCCATGAACGGAATGTGATCCTTCTTTCTATTGACAACTAGAGTTACTTATTTTCTCACTCAGCTTAAGACTAACTCCAATTGGCCGAAAATAGGCCATCCCTAGACAACGACCTATTCATCAAGTTCAAAGAAAAGGGAAGTCTTACAGCTCGGATTTAAGAGCAGTTGCTCCGAATAGATACCGCACGTATTCGTCCCCTTCATCGATTATGCAAATTCTAACTAGGACTAACGAGTAACTTATCTGTCGAGATGAAGAATACTGAAGACCACAATCCGGAGTTAAGAATCATACTTTTCCGAAAACTACTGGCTCAAACTGGGTGAGTGTTGTCCAGCTTGAACCCATATTTCGTCTGAAGGACTATTAATAGGCTGTTGAGGTAGTAAGATTGTGATATTTAACCACGTTTCAATTCAACTCTGAAGCGAAGCTCACTTTTCCACCGGCCTTTTAATGAAACATTCAAAATCTGAATCCACGGCTTGACTTCTTCATTGTTCAAGCCCCTCCTCTGCGAATAAGCTTGCATCCCGAGTTACTCTTTGCCTTCATCATACCTGATCTACCGTCATTAAAGTCTAGTGATATCTTTACAATGTCTAACAGACACGTATCTGATATACTGACTGACCGCGAAGCAATTGCTGACGCGGTCTTTCGCGCCAGTAAAAGGCTTAGACCGCTATGACGCAGCCATTTTCGATTCCGCATTTGCGTCGGAAGATGTGACACTCGAAGTGCCACACCGAAACATGAAACTTATTGGTCTATCTGACATACGCAAAAACATGCTCGACTCACTTGGGCCGTTGGATACAACGCACATGATTAGCAACATTCGCGTTCAGGTTGAAAATGGGGCCGATGCAGCCTCACTTACGGCCTACGCCTTAGCACAGCATTGCCCAGCTGGAAAGGCAGAGATCCAGAGAGCCCTAAGTTCCTAGTTTGCGGAGAATATTCAATTGATCTGAAATATGATGGATTGGATGGTTTGTGGAAGATCAAGCGTTGGATGCTGGATGTTATTTGGACCCAGGGCGACAAATCTGTAACGCAGCCTTCTAGTTGATTGACATGACTTACTCAATGCTAGACGATAGTATAAATTACTTCAGATAACCTTAGCCGCTATAGACTTACTATCAACTAAGATCATTTCTACTGAAACCTCAATTGCTTTCTCTCTAGGATCATCACTGAGTATCATTGCGAGGATCTTTGTTTCCCAGTCTTTGCAATCTTCATATTGGGTGGATTCGATTAAAACATTAGCACCATAAGCTGGCTTAGAGTTAACTTAGTGTCGAAAAACAGAAATAATCAAGGAACATATGAGCATCCCACGACGAATGACAGAAGAACATTCTGGGCATTCACATCGAAAACACTACCAAAGAAATAAGTAAAAGTTGTACCTATAGATGCTAACTGGGTTTGGTAGACAGTGAGGAATCGTAAAGCTGTACTGGTAGTTTAGGGGTGATTGGATGTAATATTATTCTTAGTATAAAGTTTTATCTTAACTTTGAACAAACTTGCCAACCTACTTCTTTAAGAGCTAACCTTGCTGCTGTTGAGCCTCATTATTGTGTGGCAACTCCGCTCTTATGTAGGTATAAACTGAAAATTGAAATCTCATTTCTTCAAGCCATAGTACTCAGGATGCCTTCGATGTTAGCAAATGCTAGTTCCGCTAGGGTTTCATTCCAGATACGCGTCGCAAGTGATTCACCTTCGCTGTCATATATCGGAGTTGCATAACTATTTTTACAGAATTAGTCTTTTTATACCACAAGGTCGTATGCCCATATCTTGACAGTGGTTATTCACAGGTTATAAGATACTTACGGCTGTATCTTCCAATCCATCAAGTAGCTGCCATGCGTTTCATCACCCCTCAATATCGCTGCATCAATGTAGGTGCTGGATCCGTTCCGCATGGTTCGACCGAAACCCCACATAACAGTATCGAAAATCATTTTGATGATAGGGTTGACTCCTCTGTTAATTTCGGTGCCTCTCACCAGTCCAGGATCCACCAAATTGACAATCACATATTCCTTCTTGACTCTTTCAGCAAGTTTCAATATCCAGAAGTGAGCAAGTATTTTACTTGCAGGATATTGCTCCGATGTGTTGAATTTAGATTGATCATCAAAAGTTGACAAGAACGGATTAGAGCCTCGGTAGGGTAGTTTGGTAAAATATGCTGTGCATGAGCCAACAATGGTGAGGCGACCAGGATGACCTCGTGGCGACTTTTCTTTGAGAGTTGGGAGGAGAAGAAAAGCTAACAAAACAGTAGATAGATAGTTGACTTGGAACATCTTCTCGTGACCTTGTGGGCCCAGCTGGAAGGACTGTTCAATCACTCCGGCGTTCAGAATGGCGATGTCGAGCCTATCTAATGTCCGACATTTGGCAGCAAAATCTTGCACACTCTTATATGACAGCATATCAAGTTGCCAGACATCAATTTGGGCGCCTTTGTGTCTTTTGCGCAGCTCCGCCGCGGCCGCTTCGCCTTTGGAGGGGGTTCTAACGGCCATGATCAAACGACCAACATTCAGTTCCAAAAGCCATTTTGCGCAAGCAAATCCAAGCCCAGTGTTTGAGCCTGTAAGGATAGCTGTCTGTCCCGAAATGGATATCCCATGAGGTGGAAGAATTGGCCTGGATAGCTGAGAGCGAAAGAAGTGGTAGCCATCGCCACGGCCTAGGTCAAAGGACTTGGAAGTCATTTTGAAGAGTCTGTAAGGGCAAAGATTATACGAATCGCAAAGTTATTGGAAAGAATGAGTAGTAGTTGGTATCGGAGAAGTTTTGTTTACCAGCCGGCATGTTGTAGTTAAATATCAATCTGGGACCATGTCGAAACATTTGAACATTGACGGAACAGGAAAACAATCTTGACATCGCGGCTTGACTTGATGCCGAGTTGAATAATGAAACGTCACAGTGAGTCCAACCGTCTATGGAATTTAATTCCACCTTACCCGTTTGAATATATGTTTGGGCCTGAGTGACAAATGGTGGAGCTAAACGAGGATGCTTAGAGGCTCTAAAAGCAGAACACTGGTAATGCTACCTGCACGTCGTCTTATCCAATACGCGCGGCTGTCTCGGGATAGTGGGTCTATTCTCTTGCAACGCTTTACCATTATAGGGAAACAATCTTGTCTTGGCGCGGAATTGAAGCCAAATGATGGGGCAGGCACTAACAGGCCGTGTGTCATGCGGATCAGCTCGCATTGAAGTCAGGATTGGTTCCCTTTTCAAGCAAACAATCTTGTCTCTTCTTACTCTTCCTGAACGACTACTTGGTGATGAATATCCCTGTAATATCGGCTTTTCCACTCAATTCAACCTGTATCACAACAGCAACTCGTCCTCTCAAACGTGAGATGTTTGAAGAGCAAGGTGATCCCCAGAGCCAAAAGACGCATGGGAGGCAGGTCTGGAATCCAATAGCGTTGCAATCTCGAGCCAGCAGTACGAATAGCCAATCCCCTATCGAGAGCGGAATATCACTAATACAACGTAGCAGAGACATTCGAGTTTATTGCTTCTGATTCTGTTGGAAGGCCGCATTCCAATGTCCGAAAACTTATTAGAAGCCATGTTATGCGCGGAAAGAACAAAAAAAGGCACCGTGTCCAAAAGCTCAAACAGGGGTCGTCAGAAGTAGCCGGAGTCACAGATTTCGGTGAGCGCGAGAAAAACGCGACATCAACAGCAGCGGCCACGTTGACTGTTCCGAGTGTCGAAAACAAAAATGTTCAATGCCCAGACACTATTGTTGTTTATACCTCAACACCGACAAATCAGGCACACGTTGCTGCCGATGGTAGTGCAATTATAGTGCGTGTCAAAGAGTGCGGAAACCAGGCCGCCATCGTATCGGTATTAGCGATTGCCAGTCCGTTAAAGCCACCTCACGACCTGGCATTAACCAAATTTGCCTGTCCTCTACACTTCTCCTCGCAGGCCCTTCTTTACAGATGTAAGCTGGATATTACTGCTCATGAACCCCCCGAAAATGGCGCTCAAGATTTGTTTCATAGATTTTACGACTGTCAAAGAAATAATGTATCCAGCCAACTGGTGTGTTGAGTCCGACAACTTCAATTGGCGCTTTTTCCGCTGGCTCTTCAAAGCGGAATCTTATCTACAGTCAATTCTCTTTAGTGTCAGCGCTTTCCAAGATATCCTGTCTTTCAAGTCTACCAAGGGTTTAAACTCATCCAGTACTGACATCGAGTTCTCCCCAGAGACACGCTGTTACTTGGGGAATACTATTAGTCTCTTGAACAAGCAACTACAAGATTGTCATATGCAACTCCACGATAGCACTGTGGCAGTGGTTATAAGCCTCGCCATGATAGCTGATGCAATGGGCGACACTAATGCTTGCAAGACGCATATTAAAGGGTTAAAACAGATGATACGTGCTAGGGGCGGTTTAGGCTCGTTTAGAAGTAACGGGCACGTACAAATGAAGATCTGCCGGTGAGTCGCGAATGCACATATGGATGAGTTTTCACTAACTATATTTACAAGCATTGACTTGGGGTGGTCCTTGAAAACAGGCTGCCCCTCTACTTTCCTCAAGGGTGACTTATCGTGGGACTCATGTTTCGACAAAGCTACCTCTGAAAGAATATATTCACAACCAAATACATCCTCATCGATCGCGTATATGCTACGCGGTAATATTAGTCATAAACTTTTCACTGTTTTCACTGACATGCAGAAATTCTCTCTGCTAGTTAATACGTTCGTCAGCCCACAAAACAAACTCAAGCAAGAAGTTTTCCAAGACGCTATGATTTCTATTCAATACCGCCTCCTATCCCTCCGATACCCTCTTGATGCTCAATTCTTGGATGAAGCCGTCCGTATTAGTCTCCTTGCTTACCAAGCTTCTATATTTTTATATATCCCCGGGAGCAGCTCCCAGTACGAGTTTTTAGCAAGCCAATATCACTCAATCATTCAAGGGATGGACGATTCGACGGTAGAAGCAGCTAACTTCAAACTTTGGATGCTCTTTGTGGGAGCTTTCATTTTCCATGATACAACCAATCAATTACTCTACTCGATGATTGCGAATTTAACTAGGGTTTCCAGCTGGACGTCAGTCCGCAATCGGCTGAAAGATATTATGTGGATTGATGTTATCCACGACAACCGAGGCAAAGATATTTTTCAAGCTTCTTCTGGAGTTGCCAGGAGTCATAGTGCGATGTATAAATAAAAATGAATCCAGTTTGTTAACGTATATTAACCTCTTTCTATTATGAATGTACATAATCGATATATAGCTATCGTGATTTCCCTTTGTTGTCTTTCGGTTTAATAGGTACATTTCTGCTTATAACAGCCCTTCCTGTCATATACTTTGCCAGTGACATTATACTTTGCTTACACCAAAGTCTTGACGATGGGTTTCTATAGTGCTCAAGGTCATTTAATGCATCTATAACACACTCTCGCCCTTGCTCACTACAAGACTCAAATGACAGCACCAGGGCCAATATGAATCCTCGACAGCCAAATAGTGGCTTGAATTGGCGTGCGTACTTGATGCATCTGCCTATCCTTAAGCTCATCTCCGAAATTTCTGCGTCAATGTCAGGACGATGGGTTCCATTGAGTGCCAAAACGTGCTTGACAGCGTAACCTATGGCAATTTGCGCCATTGCATACAATATAAATAGCATTGCCATTAAAGGCTCCGTAAATCTATAGCAGATGAGAAATGGCGATGCACGATCAAGCTGCTCAGTAATGTTGCCGTGTTTGCGCATAGTCTCAAAGCATAATTCACCAAGGCGCTGAATAAGATTCATCTCTTCAGCTGCTGTCTTTGCCACAATGAACGTATTGCCAGATGGTTCGTAATCGTCAATTTGTTGCATACAATCTAGTCGCCTGAACAACGACGGCCAATTGCTGGTCTTTAGTGCAAGGCGGTAAATATCGGCTTTGGTCTCATTTTCGATTATACCAGAGTTTAACGCAGTTTGAACAGCACGCTGCCATTCAGGCCCATTATATAGATTGGGTTTACTGCTTACTAGAGAGTCCATATACTGGCAATGTGTGAGCAATGAATGTTAACTTAAACCCAGCAAGATCTTTGCCTTACCAGAGTACCAATATTGTCCAATGCAAGAGAGAGACCCAGCTCATCATCAAGCTGAGGTGGCCCACATGCCGTCATAATCGCATATATTCCTCGCAAATGCACGCTTGGATTGTGCTCCGGCTCAGCTTCATATGTGGCCTAATTAAAAGATGAATTAGTGTCTGACAGCTCTAACAGGTAAAACGCTAGAAAGCTTACCACCACCCTATGGATTATGGACACAGCTGCCAGTAGTGCCGTATTTTGCTGCTTTTGAGAGCTTTGTAGTCCTTGGTTGAGAGATCTCAAGGCTTGCCCGTAAGCCTTTCTGTCAATAAGCTTCTGTGTGGGGAGGCCACGTTGGTGATTTGAATAGGTTTCTATCATCAATGTTACTGCGTCGCATAACGCAGTGCTGCTTCGCATGTAGCGAGGCAGTAGAGAGTACGATTTTTTCGATAATGAGGCGTATAGGTTTACGTCTTCCATATTCAGAGCGACAGTTATTAGCTTCCAAACAGCGTTATCAGCGCAATTCTGAAGCAAAGGGCTTATGCTTAATTTCGGATCTCGCCCTTTCCAAAGTGTGGCCTTCTGTCCATTATTCGAGCGGGAATATACATTGATGAAGGAGTTGGGGTAGCGGCATCCCTTGATTTTGTGTTGAAAAGACGACAGAGATGTCGATGATGGCCTAGACAATTGCCTTGGATCATCTGTAGCCCTCTGCCCGCGGAGGTTGTAACAAGCTTGAGTCGACTCTTGGAACTGGATGTGTACAAAGCGGTCATCCGGCGGACCAGAACACATGCGGTCTCTCGATTTGCAATTGCTACATGTGGGCCACTTCTCATCACACTGTAGAAGTGTTTAAGAAGATTAGTATGCCACAGAGGAAAACTCAAGCAAGTAAAATCTTGATCTTACCTTGATCTTCCGCCTCGCACAATATTGACATCGATTGCTTAGAGGAAATCCCATTTCTTTGATCTCCAAAAACAACTCGACTCACTGTAAATATTTGCAAGTATGCTCGACACAGAAAAGTCTTTTGGTTATATAAGAACAAACGTCCAAAGTCTCAATTTGCTGATTGTGGACGGGATGACTGACTACTGTCATCGAGATTTCGGAAATAAGAGTAGTCAAATAAGGAAACAAAATAAGAACAAAGAAATAAAGAAGCGAAGAAACACAATTAAGCCAAACAAAAAAAATAAAAAATAAAAATAAAAAATAAAATTGGAAAATAAGACAAACCAAAATAAAATAAAAACCAACATGGGTAGAAACCGGCCGATGTAATATTATAGCGGGCTGTCACTTGTATACTAGCGATTAGTCACTACAGAGCCCTAATAACTAGGCAGCGACTTTTCAAAGGTAGCGTCTTCCTGGCAAAACTGGCCAGTTAAATGTCTTCATAAAGATGATACTGATCCAATAACATCACTTGAATAAAATATAAGCTGAGGCTGTGCTTGCGAGGGAACACAGTATACTCAGTAAACCTCAATTGAGCGGGAAGCCCCTCCAGTCCAGTAACATACCCCTCCATAACCTTTTCTTGCCACTCAGAATGTAATCACTTGTTGCTACTAAAGCTCGTCACTTTGATGTAATACCTAGAATACTGGAGTTCAATAAAGATATGCCTGCTTTCTCCCTTTTACGTGTGTTACCTGCGCACCTCTTTCCTAATTTACATTAGTGGCAAGAACGTGGATAAATCCTTCATTCCTGTGACCCCCACGAAGACCCCTTAGGACACGGGCTCTGCCCCACGTCTATAAAGATTTCTAAATATATGTGGAAGAACAAATTTGAAGATTCTCTATCAGAGTAAACACTGAACTGCATTTGAACTAAAGGGTCACTTATTCGGAGACTATACGAAGTGGCAAGGTTGCTGAGGGACTGGGATGGGATGAGGATAGCATCAGGCTTATGATAAATTGTACAGTATATCTAATACTGCCACTACATAAATGGTTGGAGCCTATATAATATAACGGCATCGCAATCATGGCAAACGGCTTGTAATTGCAATTCTTCATCTGAGCTATTCAAAAATAAATAAACACATATATATTATATAAAATGAACACGCATAGGCCCATGACAATGCCCTGCATGACAAGAAGTGTAAATGGAAATTACGGAGGCTAGTTTCTCTCAATCTTAGAGACCCTAGAGAGCATACCAAACTGTTTGTGCCACTGCCACGCCAATAACCGCTGTCAGAGCAGCTTTTACTTCGACAGCTGTATTTTTATGATTAGCGGTGGGCGCTAGCGTTGAAGAAGTGATGGATTCTGATGTAGCAGAAGCGGCGATTGTTGGAGGCGATGTAGGGCTAGTGGATGAGCCTGAAGCAGAACAGGCGGAAAGCGTGGTGGCAGAACTGGAGCCTGACTCACCAGATGAAGACGAACTTCCGGATCCAGAATTGGAGCCTCCACTAGCGCTCGGGGGTTTTTTCCCAGTCAACTTTTGGATTTGATCCTTATAATCTGGAGAGTCGACATCGACAGTGTGTTGGCACGAGCTGAGATCCGTGAAGCAGGTAACTTGACCGCAGTTGTCATTAGTGCCACCGATGCAACAGTACGTCTTTCCAGGTGCGGTTTTCATCACGCCGGGGCAGCAGACGTTGTTTTTCAGACTCTGGATCTGGCCCATTCCATTGCCACAGGCGAAGTCCTATTCCCAATAAGTCAGTTTGTCACTACTAAGGGCGACATCAGTGCTGATATTGCCTACCCTGCTTTCAACTGAGGCCGCAGCTGGCGTACACAGTACAGCGAGAATGCTAGTTGTATAAAAGAGCCAAAGCATATTTGAATATAATGAAAGTAAACCAGTGGTCTTATGTAGCTCTAAAATGCTGGGAATAATCGGCTTTTTGTAGAAGCAATTGTGCGTTTTGAAGTTGTCATTTTTAATTGAGGCGGAGAATCGCTTTATTTATACCTCAATTTCAAACTCAACCTTTGTTCTTGAAGTCGTCGCCTAACGAAGAGTCAAATATTATTAGATTTACAAGGGTAGCGCAGTATTATTCCTCTTTCGTACACACCAGCGCACACATAAGCCAAGTTTGTTTCAAGGGTATCGAGAAGGCTGATCTTACAACATCTGAAGTCGACCCACTTGTTGACAGAATACCCATAATCCTAACAATGTGGAGGCCACAAGGCATAATCGAAGGCACAATAAAAATACAGGAGGTACAACATTCTGGAACATGCCCCTTAAACTTTCTCTTTTTCAATCATACCCACCATTTTAGCTGTCGATGTTATGAATGTCACAGCAATTGTGTTTAAGCTAAATATTCTTCTTCCACCTTGTCCCAGCATTACACTAAGGCACGCGTTAGTCTTCAAACATGGGTGTTACCTTGAGTAACAGATGTCAGTCTTGCGCAAGGCGTAAAATTAAGGTGTGCGAGATATTACAATACCTTAATTCTCCTGAAATGCTTCTAATATTTTAGTGTGACGAAAACTGGCCTGTGTGTGGTTATTGCAAGCGCAAAGGTTTTGAATGCTCCGGTCAACCAACCAATCGCTTTGTTTATATTAGAGCGCCGAACTCAGTAAAGCCATTCATCTCCGAGGAAAGTTGTGTCATGCCAGACCCAGTCCATCAACCAAAGTCTGCCATCTGTCCATCACTTAGGAACGAGGCAGATGTCTCTATAGCCCAGTTGATTGCCGTTATTGATGCTAGCAAAGATATGAATCTTGATGCTTTATTGTCCAAGAGGTCATTCACCCTTCTACCGCGATATATGATTGGCAATCAGGTGTTATGCAATGCGGTGAGGTTTATGGTGTCGTGTTATACAAATCATCAACGTGGCATATTTCCACAGGAGTTGTTCGATCGAAGAGCATATAGTCAAGCATTAGGGTCGCTTGCTCAAGCATTACAAAGTCCCAGCAATGGAATTACTACGCCGGTCCTAGCAGCTATATCCATAATTCACAGAGTTGTGGTAAGTGTAAATATGGTAGGTGCTATCATTGAGGTTAACGCTTCACTCTTGCAGACTACATACGAACCAGAAGCAGAAACAAGCCATAACAAACACCTAGAAGGAATAAACGCAATCATGGCTGCCCGAGGGCCGCCAGATCTAGACGATGACCTGGATGTTTCTTTGATGTTCGATAACTTTCGCTTACTGGTATGTCAATGAGATTATATGTCTTGGATTTTGTGTTAACCTTATCTTATTTAAACGATGGCAGAACATGCACTCTCTACTCTATGGTCGGCCAAATGTGTATCACATGTCCGACTGGCAAACCGTTATGAGTAAAGCATTGGACTGTCACATGATTGAAAGCAAAAGTGCAACAGAGATCTTTCGTCTGTCAGCCAGGCTCTGTCGCTGGTGTAGATTAGTCTCCAAGCTGAGGACAGCCCAGCAGACTAAAAACTCACGAAAAGCGCTTGCGCTTGCAGAGGATATTAGCAATGAAACAACATTGGAGATGAACAGTGTACGAATACTTGATCATCTGCAAGTTACAGAGATGCGGGATCGCGGGGTACCAGTTGAACAGGTTGATCCGTTATCCCCGTTTCTCACGTATTACCAATTCCCAAACCCAGAAGACGCACTAAGTTTTGTGTTGTACGCTACGGTACGAATCGGTATTTGCCGCATTGCTAACCAGGCTATGTCAATTACTGCCATTTGGGACCCCGTGGCTGAATTGGAAATAACCGGGTTAAGTCATCGAATAGCAAAATGCATCAGATATTTCCGTGAATTCAAGCCCCTCGAAGGTGCTGGAATAGTGGTACCACTGGTGTTGGCGTTCGAAGCCTGTAACGGACAAGAAAGAGAATTTATTATAAATGCGTTATATGAGTTTGAGGATCATAAAGAGCAGTTGCAAGATCGATGGAATGCAGAAAGGATAATTAATTGGGCAAAGACGATAACTGGGAGATAGGTCAGGTATCAAGATTCAGTGGTCAATCAACAAGTAAAAATTGATATGCAAACCGTCTAAAGACAATATTGAAAACGATGGTGAGGGAATAAAAAGATATGAATAAGAACAGTTGATATAGTTGTGATTATAAGCTATATATAGGCAAGATAATGAAAACGAGGGGCAGTAAAGAGGGTACTCTTTGTAGCCATATGAACCTTGTGGCTTTCGCATTCTTACGGACCTACAAAAGAGTGCCGTATTACTCTCTGCAATGATGAACCATGCGCATATCTTTCCAAATACGTCACGCGACTACGACCTGCATCTTAAAGGGCTCTTATGGTAAATACTTCCATTAGGATCATTCGACTAACAAATGGGCTTTGTCAAAATTCTGAATGTTTTATATCCATACACGATATTTGATCCATGTTCTCCGGTCTAATATAAATAGCTCAAACCAAGTATACCATCCAACTTGGAGAAAAAAAAACCAGAATTTGCTCTACCAGAGATCCCATGGTCTGGTTAGGAAAGAGGTGCGCTCCATGCCGCGAGGGCTCCGCTCATCCTATAATCCGATGGAGATCTTCTAGTTAGCTCAAGGGGCTATTTCTTTTGCCAATTTGGCCTTGGTATACCTTATGTACTGTTAATTACCGCCCACCGTCTACCCCCCGTTAAGTTCCACTTGATACTCGCGGTCCTTCAGGCCCCCTAGTGTATAATCATTCGGTTCTTCCAGGTAAATCCAGCTCTGCCTTGCATATGCTGCACTACCATGAGTTAGTACTCTTGCCGCCTACTCCACCTAGGGCGACTTTTGGTAAGAGATGCGCTGGCGAGTTCCTGATGCCATAAAACTTGAAACATTCCAAACGAAAGGGAGGGCGACTCTTGTATTTGGGTTGGAAGCTTCGTAAGCTTATTGGCGTTGGTAATATAGCAAACTGACATAGATCTCCCCCTTAGACATTGATGACCATATAATGAGGCCGCCGCCGTGCTTAAGCATCAGTACCGAGATGATCAGTTACACGGTTAATCAAGCTCCTCAACACTTCAATTTTGAGTGTCTAGGCTTCCTCATCATGGCTGGAATAAGACCCATTCCTTTGAGAATCGCGCTCGCTCTGAGCTTTTCAATTACTGCTTGGGCCCACAATCCTACAGTCGAATGGATCAAATGCCCGGTCGGTGTTACCAGCCCTGTTGAGTGTGGACAGATCCAAGTACCGTTGGATCACGCAACTCCTGATGGAGAGACTATTACTCTTAGTCTGACCCGTCTTCAAGCTACTAATCCAGGCTGTGGTCCCAGGCAGGGGCCGTACATGTAAGCTTCAAACACTACTTAGTATACGAATACCTTCAACCATTTACAGACTGGAACCTTAAGTCATAAGCAGTGGGAGTGTATTTGTTCTATAAGCTAACAAAGTGTGAATAGAGAAGATGGCGGGCCTGGCGAACCAAACGTACAAATGTGACGAACCGGGTCCTATAGGCACTATAGGTTAGCTGTTCCCAAGGGACAAACCTTAGAGTGGTTCTATGGTTTATGTTAGCGGAGTAATTAGGTCGGTAAATGGGCAATCTTATTACCAGCTAGTAATATAAATAAAAGTAAATATCTAAGTTTTAATTTAATTATATTATAAACGCTGTAATAATAACTAGCTATTTAAGTATTTTAATAAGTAATATAAAGTAAATTTATATATTTAGTTATATATCCTAGATTATGTTAGAAAGCTGGTTTTCTTAGCTTTCCTATAGTAGATTATTTAAAAAGCTAGCTTTCCTAGCTTTTCTATTAGGGAATATTAATAATTTTAATTAGTTTATTGGCCTATAGTTAATCTAGTTCTGGCTAACCTATTGGCCTATTATTATAACTTTAAGAGTTAGGTTATAATATAATTCTCCCCCTCTTATTAATCTTATCCTTAAGACCTAATTAAGGTAGTATATAAGTATTTACTCTTATTTTATTAGTAGGTATTATAATTTTTTTTATTTTACCTTTATTTTTTATTTTTTTATTATAACTAATTATAAGTATAAGCGTAATAATAAACCTATTTTTAAGTAAAAAAAAAAAAAGCGTAAAAGCCTTACTAATACTATATTAGAAAATTTTATCTTTATTATAAAATCGTATATTTACTGTAAAAAGTAAGGCTGTAATTATATTACTTTAAAGAAAGATTCCTATTAGTGTTTTTTTTATATTTAAAATTAAAAATCTTATTATAAAGTATTTAGTCTTACCCTATAATAAATATATAAGGTAGTAATTTATTATTTAAAATTAAATAAGAAGCTTAAAAAAGCGGAAGAGGTATAGCTTAAGGCTAGTACCTAAGTAAAATATCTTCGTACTTAAAAACGTAAGTAGTTAAAGTAGATAAAGCGGGCTATTACTTATAATATTAATAATTTAAAGGAATTAAAGTATATTAAATATAAGAAGTAGAAAGTATAAGAAGCGGAGGTAGTTTATTAGGCTAATATATTATTACTTAATTTATCTAGTCCTGTAACTTAGGGTTCTATAGTTAACGTTATTAATTAAGACGCTTTTAACCCTTCTTTACTAAACCTAGACTTTAGTAAAAGTTATTTACAAAGTCTTTTAAGTATTTAAGGTCCTTAATAGTTTATTATAAGTTTTTTATTTTATTATAACCTTTTTATTTTACTAGGTATTTAGTTTATTAAGTATTTTTATTAAATTTTATTATCTTAAGTTTCTTAACCTTATATTTAAGTTCTTTACTTTAAATAATAATTTTATTTTATATAACTTTACCTATTTTTTTATTTACTAATATTTTTTTTAATAGTAAAATATAAAAATTTAAATATATAGTTCTTTTTTATTTTCCTAGGGTAAGTAAAAGATTTATTTTATAATTAATAGGTCTGATTTTCTTTATAACTTTATAAGGTTTAAGTTTTTTAAAATTAAGTTTATTACTTAGCTTATTTATTTTAATATTTAGCTATTTATTATTTTACAAATGTTAGAGTAAGTAGATTATATCTCTCTTTTTAAAAGTTAGTCCTTTAATTTTTTTAGTATTTATAAATTTAGTTATTTTTTATTTAATAAATTTAAGTTATATTTATAATTCTTAATGTAGTTCCTTAAGTTTATTAGCTATAATAATAGTTTTATTAGTATTTTTTTCTTTAATAGATAGTTAGTGTAAATTTAGTTTAAACCCGTAGTTTACGTAAAACGGTAAGTAGTTTATAAATTTTACTAGTATACTATTATAGGATGCTTAGGTAATTAGTAAGTATTCTACCTAATTATCTTAGTTAAAGTTAACGTAGTACTGTAAGTATATTTTAATAATTTAGTTAATTTATTTTATTTATTTATTTATTTAAGGGTAGTAAGCTATACTAGCTTTATATTTTAGTTTAATTCTTACTATAAGTAATTACTAAAATTTTAATATAAATATTAATCCTTTATTTAAGATAATTTTATTTAGTAGTTTATAGTTTATATAAATATATTAGAAAAATATATAAGCTAAGTTTTTTATAAAGTTTTATTCTTTTATTAGGATAAAGTAAGTTATTTTTAAAAGTTAGTTAATTACTATAAAAATACTATCTTAAGTATTATTAGTTATAAGTTTTTTTAAAGGTAAAAGCTTTATAATATAGTTAAATATTATTAATTCCTAATTTCTAACTAGAACTAGTAAAGGTTATAGTTTTCTATAAGGAAGATAGTATAATACCTTAGCATATCTATATATTATATATTTTAATATAACCTTCTATACTTATTTTTTAATACCTTTAAATTTAAAGTATTATATAATTTATTATATAGTTTTTCTAATTCTATAGTATTTATTAAGCTTATGTATATAAACTAATTTTACTACTTTACTTTGTAAGTTTTCTAATACTTAAATAAATTTATCTAATATTAGGTATTTAATATCTATAAAAACACCTTCTAAGTATTATTTATTTTCTTAGTTCTTAATATATTCCTTTATATTATTAATAATTAGGTTATCTATCTTAATTTAGTATAAGGTATTAATTAATTAAATAACTAGGTCTTTATATTAGTTTTTCTTTAGTATTTATACCTTAACTTCTAGGATTTTTTAAAAGTAATTTAAGTACCTATTAAGTATATTAGTACATCCGTTATTTAATTTACTATAGTATTTAATAGTAAGCTTAAACTTAGAGAATTACCTATAGTATTTAACTTATTTATAGAATAGTTTTTATATTATTATAAAGTAAGTAATATTCCAGTAGTCTATAAAGATTATTATTAAAAATCAACTTCCTTTATAATAGTATTTTTAATACTATTTATTAAGTACTTAGTATATAGCTATAAACTCTTTATCGTAAATAAAATATCTAAGTTCTAGTTTATATAGTTTCTTAAAGAAGTAGGTAATAGGCCTAAGCCTTTTTTTCTTTATATTATTTAGTTAGCTAAGTACTTCCTTAATTATATAATCTAAGGTATTAGTTTTAATTATAATAGGTTTATTTAGGTTAAATATTATAAATACTAATATATTTATAAGAGCTTATTTAAAGTATTTAAAGGCTATTAAAGTATTTTATATTAATTTAAATTTAACGTCTTTTTTTATTAAGTCTATAAATAGTATAGTAATTTTTAAAAAGTCCTTAATAAAGCATTAGTAGTAATTAGTAAGTCTTAAGAAGCTTTATACTTACTTAATATTCTATAGCGGTTCCTAATTATTAATTACCTTAAGTTTCTTAAGGTTTATTTAAACTTTACCTAGGGTAATAATATATCTTAAAAATATAATCTTCTATATATAAAAGTTATATTTTTTAAGTTCTACTAGGAATTTATTATTTTAAAGTATTTATAATACCTTTTTAACATATTCCTTATATTTTTCTAAGTCTTTAAAGTAAATAAAGATATTATTAAGGTATATAATAATAAAATAATTTACGTAGTTTTATAATATATAGTTAATTATTTTTTAAAAAGATACTAAGGTGTTTATAAATCCGAAAGGTATTACTTAATATTTATAAAGTCTATATCTTATATAAAAGGCGGTTTTTTATTTATTACCTTTTTTAATTTAAATAAGGTTATATACTCCTTTAAGATTTAATAAAGTAAAAATCTTAGCTTTTATAAGCTGGTTTTCAATTTCTAAAATTAGTAGTAGTAGTATAATATTTTTTTTAGTTATTATATTTAATTATTAGTAGTTTATAATAAATTAAAGTTTACTATTTTTTTTAAGTATAAATATAATTAAATATTCTACTAAGGATTTAAAAGGTTTAATATAACCTTTCTTTAGCTAGTCCTTAATTTATTTATTAAGTATTTTAAGCTTAGTAGTACTTAGGTTATAGATCTTATTAAACGTTAAGACTTTATTATTTATAAGTTTAATTTTATAATTTTATTAGCTGTATTTTAGTAGTCTAGTATTAAGTTTTTTATTAAAGACTAGTATATACTAAAGGTTTTATAATACATTCTTTAGGTATTCCGGTGTTTTTTAATCTTAGTAGTATAATTCCTTAACCTTTTATATAATTAAGTTAAGAAATCTAAGTTATTTCTTCTTTAGCTTTTTAATATATTTAATTATCTTTAGGAGCTTTTTTAGCTCCTTAAATTATATTTATTTTATAACTTTTTCTTTTTTTATATATATTATTTTTTTTTTTTATATAATACAGGGGTTACTAATTCTATCGTTAAGGATATTATAGTATTTTATTAATCCTCCTAATTTAGTTATAGTATATTTTTAAAATTAATTAGTTTAAGGTAAGTTTACTACTTTACCTAGCCTGTAATCTAGTTAATATTAAAGTTATATAATTTAAGTTAATTATATTCTAAAAGTATATTATATTTTATAATATTTATAATATTAAAATTAAATATATTTTTAATTTTACTAAACTAGATTTTAAAGAGATTAGTTTTATAGTTAATAGTTCCGTTATTATAGGTAAATTATTATTTTTTAATACTTATAAAGGTATATAGCTTCTCCTTTTTATAGTTATTTAACTATAGGTAGTTAACTAATTAAGGTATAATATAGTTTATTATAGCTCTGGAGTTTATATAGACTATAATTAAATATTTTTCTAAGGTACCTAGTACTTAGAATTTTTATAGTTTCTTTTCTTTTATAAGGGTATTTAGGTTATAGTAGGTTATATTATTAGCGCTATTATAATAATTATTACTATAAAGGTTAATATTAATATTATTTAAGTCTAAGGTAATTTATTTTAGTTCTTTATTTTAAATATTATAGTATTTATATTAGGTATATTTAGGCTTAGGTATATATTTAGTAGTAAGTTTATAGTACTTTTAAAGGTTATTTTAGTTAATTCTTTATAGTTTATTATTATTACTATACTTTATAAGGTTAAATCTTTATTATTCTAGGTTATAGGTAATATA